AAATTGTCTCTGGCCCACAAAAACGTAGTAGAAATTGTTATGATCACTTGCTTATTATCTCCAAGGTGACATTAGGTTAGATATTTCAAAGTTCTAAAGTTCCATCATGGGAAATCTCCGAGCTCAATGGAGTGAAATTTTCTCTGGTGCAGTTTGATTACCACAATGCTAATTTGATTATGCCTTAGAACAAGTGTAAGCCTGAATGGAAACAAAACCACGCTACAAATTAAACTATGCAGGTTTTTGTGAAATTGTTTTGTGGAATACGTGACATTTGGTTCACTAAATGAAATAAAGCAGGAACGTGATAACTATTTATGGAAAATTACTCATTCAATCATAAATCCATTGTACAAATATCAATTCAATCCCAAACGTTTTAGTTTTGCCAATTTAATCCTAAAACTTTGCGTGAAATTCTAATGTGGTCCTTCTGGTCATTTTTTGTGGGAAATTCCAATCTGGCGGTTAAGTCATTATTGGTCGTCCTACATGACATACCGCCATATCAGCGATTTTCGGCGAAAATTAATTGGAAGGATTACATTGGAACTTTGAATTGACAAAATTGAGAAGTCGAGGATTGAATTAACATTCGTAAAATAGGTTTAGAACTAATTGGACAATTTCCCAAAACTATTCATAAGAATATGATAGACCAAGAATGGGAACGGAATAGTTACTCTCTAGTTTGGTTTGCACGACAGAATAGTTATTCTTGGACTCTTTGTTTGCATGTTTACAAGAATCACATTGGTTAAGTTAGGAATAAAAAAAAATAAGCCAATAATATCCACAGATGAGGTTAAATCAAAGCTAATTTATCGGCTTATCATATTCTTAAGATTGCGAACCAGAAATGATTTTTTTTTTTGGTCAGAAAACTAGAAATGATTACGATTCATAGATACTTATAATTTTTTTTACAGTAATATGTGTACTTTATTATATTTTTAGTCATAATTATAAGAGCCATATCGTTGTTAAATGATATTGGTGATTTAGATTTGTAGTTATGGTTTAGAATATACTAAATACCACTTTATTATTTGTTGTCATATTTTAGTTAACTTTACTAAAAAATATAATTATGTCATATGATATAGTAATCATTAGAGATATTTCAGCTATCTATAACTAAGACTCATGACTATGATTTAAGCTTTAATTGTCAGAAAATTAAGCTTTGAATAGAATTAGATGAAAAGTTAAATTATCAATGGATAAAAAGTTTCAAAGTCTATTGATGCAGCTTTATTGTTGATTAATGTTCCTTCAAATTTGATGATTATTCAACCCATTTGATACTCACATGAAAAACTGCTTACATAAAGAACTGGACATTATATGTTCAAAATTTTTAAAAAAAATTGTGGCTTCATTACTTGATCTCAAATAGAAGTGGCTACATTCACGTCAAAGTATCACTATGTCAATTACACCTTCAAAAAAAAATCTCAATCCTACTCCCAAATCACCACAACAAAACTAGAGAACCATGGAAGACTTTAATCTCACCAACTCTAACATTACATAGAACCAACAAACATGGATGGAAAATCCTTTTTCACTCGTGCAAGCTCCTCCTTCAAATGCCTCTTTTCGCCTTTTGAGTGTTGATTTTAGGTAGCAATGCGCTCACGTTTGATCTTGTCACGCCTCGACTGGCTTGATTAGCAAAACGCTTGATTCCTTTCAAGGAAGTTGACTATTATGTCTTGTACTCGATTTGGCATCTTTGGATTAACCCACATAAAGAAATGGCAACAACCCGTACCATTGAACTTAGCTCAACTACAAAACCTTCTTCTTGTATTTTTTCTTATTCTGCGGTGAGAGTTGGTGATTGAAAACCACAATAGCATATTACTCCAAGTTGACCTCATTAAGAGTTATGCCACTTGATTAAGACGCTGGCCCGCTAATTCTTCTACTTGCCATTCTTTGATATGGGGATTGGGGTTCCTTGTGCCAAAATTAAGGATAGCAATTCAATATGAAGCTCACTGTTTACGGAGTTTTATATTTTTGAAGGGTTTAAGACGGAGAAGCAGCGTCTTTAGAACAACTGTGGACAACTCAATTAAGTAAACGGCACCTAGGAGAGAGAAATTAATAAATAAAGCTACGTCATCATTTTCTGTCCATCAATTTAGATGGAGCTAATGAAAGAACTTTATTGCATGAATTCTTAAGTTTTAGTACTTGCTTTCATTATCTAAAGGTTTTAGGATTTAATTGCATTTTGATTACAAATTTTAAAACTTTTGGTGTACTTATACCCGCTTCCCACCCTCCCCTTGTTTGACACTTTGTGGACTGTGCCTGGCTTGACATTCTGCTATAGTAATAATATGTCGTGCCGGCATGGTTTGTTCATTATGGGTCGTGCTCGGCCCAAGGATGGCCTTGGCACGACATGATAAGCCGGCACGATGTGACCATTGCTCAATGGCTATTGAAGTAGCCATTTATAACGAACGACTACTTCAATTGCCATTGTACTTCTTTGTTTTGAATAATCTTTTCTAAAGATTACGCAAACTCATCTCACAAATAAAATTCCATTAAATATCTTATGATTTGAAAAGAAAAAAAAACATTCTTAATCTTCTCCTACTTGTTTTCAATCTCTCATTCTCACTCTTGGTATTGACTATTTCTAATATAGTGCAATTTAACATTTAAAATTCTAGGTATTCCATAACAAATTTATGAATTCAGCATGCATGTTGGTTGAAAAATAATAAAAATATTGAAGAGACAAAAAGAAGAAAGAAGCCCTAACCTAACAAGAAGGACCGGCTGGTCATCAACAAATTGGAAATGTAGTTAGCCCAACCGTATTCACAAGTCTCTTGTCCCCTCTATCTCAAGTCTCAATCGCCAATCTACAAGCTAATTTTCAATGGATTGATAAGAATTTAAAATTGTTTCCGGCCCACAAAAATATACTAGAAATTGTTATGATCACTTTCTCAACCATGAAAACAACTTGTACCATCGTACTTAGCTCAAGTTCAAAGCATCACTAATCACTAATTCAATTACACCATCAAAAAAATATATCAATCTTACTCCCCAAATCACGAAATGACAGCAACTTGTACTATCGAAATTATCTCAACCATGAAACCTTCTTCTTGTATTCTTCCTTATTCCACCGGGAGAATTGGTGATTGAAGGCCACAATAGCAGGTTACTCCAAGTTGACCATATTAAGAGTTACGCCATTTGATTAAGACGTTGGCCCCCTCATTCTTTCTTCTACTGTCCAGCCTTCGATATGGGGATTAGGTCCCTTGTGCCAAAATTTAAGGATTGCAATTCAATATGGGGCTAACTGTGTATAGAGTTTTATATTTTTGAAGGATTAAAGAGGGAGAAACGTCATCTTAATCGACGAGGACAAATTTTTAAGTAAACGGAAAAGCTGCGTTGTCATTTTTTGTTCATCAACTTGGACGGAGACTTCATTGCACGAGTGTTAAGTTTTAGGACTTCGTTGCATTATTTGAAAATTTTAGGACACAACTTCATTTTGACAATTCGACCAAAAAAAATAAAAAACTTCATTTTGACAACATATTTTAAAAATTTTGACGCACTTATGCCCGCCCCCGCCCTCCCATCGTTCCGGATTGTGTGGACAGTCCTTGGCATGACCCTTATGTTATAGTAAAGGGTTGTGCCGGCGTGGTTTGTTCAGTATGGTTTGTGCTTGACCCAAGGATGGCCTTGGCACGACACGACCATTGCTCAATGGCCATTGAAGTAGCCATTTTTAAAGAACGACTACTTCAATAGCTGTTGTGCTTCTTTGTTTGATTATTCTTTTTATAAAGATGACACTAACTCATTCGACAGATAAAATTTCATCGTATATCTTACGATTTAAAAAGGAAGGACCCATTCTTAACCTTGTACTACTTGTTATCAATCTCTCATTCTCACTCTTCGATCTTCTTCCCAATTATCATCTCATTAATAACTAGTGTAATTATGATCAAAATTACTTTGGGAGAGCCGCACGGCATTTTGAATATTCATTCATTAATTCCTCTGTTTTCGGTGCAAGGGTTCGACTTAGTTGTTCATATTAAAGGCGGGGTCATTTATATCGGAACCAGGATTCATAGAGTGTGCTTTCTTGTTGCGCGACTCCAAGTGATTGCGGAACTAGAATCAGTTACTTTACCACTCGATTTATTCTTTAGAATTCGTTCTTTATTCTTTATAGGGATAATGACACAAATGATTTCTGAACTTTATTCCAACGTGCAATGTCGTCTCTCAACTTTTTAATTTGTTCAATGTGGTTTCTAAACTTTTGATTTATGTTCAATCTAGTTCTTAAACTATATGGAGATGCTCAATGTTGTCCCTGAATTTAAATTGAATATAAATTAATGAAATGATAACATTAAGCATCTCCATATAATTAAAAAATTTAGGGACCATATTGAATAAATTTAAAAGTTCAGGGATGACGTTTGAATAAAGTTCAGGGGTAACCTTAAACAAATTAAAAGTTCTGGATCACATTGTACGTTGGGATAAAGTTGAAAGAAATGCCATTTGTGTCGCTTTCCCTTACTTACATTGTCGAGCTGAACAAAGTCATAATTACATTCTAAAACTTCAAATCAAACGTCATTGTGCTCGCATTTCTATTGGAGACCCCGTTATAATCGAACTTTCGACATTAAACGAGGTTAAAAAATTGTTCAGGGCAACTCTGAACCCTCCTCCCTCGGACCATATGGGAAGCGGAGACACAGAGCGTTACAACGTTTGACACGGCCCATAGGGTGGTGATTCTGCCTGCCATAGTACCGCCTGCGGAACTCCATTGACCAACCGTGCTTCAAACCCTCCTTTCTAAATCTCTCTCGTATTCCCAGACCCAAGAACGCACGGCACAACCAAAATTCAAAGTCCTCCCTTCGCTCTCTGGTCTCTACCAAGACTTCCATTCCGCTGCCCGCCTTCTCTCGTTTAAATTTCAAGAAAAGATGACATCTTTCCCGACAAGCTCACCACCCCACTTCTTGAAATCGCCTCAACATATATACGGTTCCATCTTCTCGTGCATACACAAGCGCCGTAAAGAGCTTGCACCAAGATTTGAGAGGCCCAGAAAAGGAAAAAGAAAAGAAGGGTAAAGAAATTTTGCACAAAGTTGCTGCTGAAGCAGCGAGTGTGTGAAGCGGCGTCACGAAGATGACTAAGATTTTCGTGCATTTGCTGCTTCTTGTCGCCTTCTCGGCCAATGCAGCTCTGGGAGCCACAATCGTCAAGACTTTGCCCGGTTTTGATGGTGAACTTCCCTTTATGCTCGAAACTGGGTAGGTGTTTGTTTCTTGTTCTTTTTGGCTTTCCTTCAGGATAAGTAGTGAAAATTGTGATTTGGGGTCTGTCTTGATTGTTTAGGTACATCTCTGTTGAGGATGCCGAGATGTTCTACTACTTCATTGAGACAGAGGGAAACCCTAAAGAAGACCCTCTTTTGCTCTGGTACAGTGGAGGCCCTGGTTGCTCTGCATTTAATGGCCTCATCTTTGAAAATGGTCAGTCTTTCCTCAATTATCATTTCATGATCTGTTGTGCCGGAGGGCGTTTTTTGAATGTGGGTCCATCCTAGTCACTATGGACACATTTGCGCAATCCGCATGACTATATCCACCATTCCGAGATTCAATATGGATAGCCCTCTCCTGCTAGGATTGGAAACCCTGTATTTGACCTCCCCAGAAAATCGAGTTCTTGGGTTTTATTGTAGGCAGTAGTGTTCCTGGTGGAAACTAAAATAGGATCGTGATAATGACATCATTAGCTGACTCCACCTAGTGGGATAGTATGTGATTTGTTTTTGTTGTTGTTATGATGATTGTGCAAACTTATAGATTTTCCTTCAACATATAGGGGCCATAGGGCATTTTTCTAGAATTAACTGTTAATATTCATAAGTTGGGTATTTAGTGAGAATTTTTGTTTCCAGACATGAAAATAATGTTTTTTGAATGGGGACAATGGTGGGCAGATGCTTTAGTCACTTTCCAATGTCTTCAAAGAAATTCTGTTAGGTCAAGGGATGAAAGGATGAAAGAAAATACTGGAAGTAATATGTTTTCTGGTGGGTCATGAACAAACAAATGACCTGGGTGATAGATGCAGTCGCAGTACTTAAGTTCTTGTGTGAATGAATTGGTGATAGGAAGCACCAATCGTACTTGTATGTTAATTTTTGAGGCACAGCAAATCGTAATTGTATATACTGAGCACCAAACCCAAGAGACTGATGCGTGAGACTTGTCCGTCTTGTCTTGCTCTTCTATATACAAAGACTGGTCTACAAAGTTAGTATACTTAGTCCACGTGGCAGTTTGTAACTCAAGTGGACCAGAGTCACCTCATTACTTAGTATATTGCTCTGGTGTTTAATTCTAATATACCTTGCGTTATTTTTTTAGTAGTCCTGTTTGAATTCTGTAGCCCAAAGGATCGGTTGGAGCTGATAGTTATGTGGGGCAACTAGTCTCACTTGTTGCTCCCAGTCTGAACTATAGCAAGAAGCAGTCGTATACCAAACAGTCAACTGTTTTTCCATTTACCTCACGGTTGCATATTCAGTAACAAGTCCCATCTTGTGCTTTGGTCTCTCTTAGAAGAGAAATAGCTCACTCAATATTGTTTTCGAGTTGAGAGATAATAGTCATTGCTTGGTCCCCTTCTTATGGAGCATGTGAAATTGACAACGGTTTCATGAAAGTTTCATTACCTTTATGAGAATCCCATATCGAAATTGTCGTTTTCTAGCTGTTCCAAGTTCGGGAAGTTTTATGGAGAATTGAAAATTTATGAAATGCTCAACTATACAGTAGGACCAGTATGATTGCAGAATGCCCAACGCAACCATGTTGGTTAAATTGATGCATATTATTCTTGCATATTCGGAGACGCTTTACGTTTTTCATCTATCCTCAGTGATTGGAAATTGATCTGGCTTGGTTTTCATTAGCATAATTACAGCCTGAAGAAGTAGAGCAGTTGGCAAAAGTAATTATTGGCAATATAATTGCACTGACTTGTACTTTTCTTTTAGGTCCGTTACAATTCAACATCACCGAATATGAAGGAGGCGTGCCACAGCTGGAGTACTATCCATACAGTTGGACAAAGGTATTCTGTTTCAGATTAATTTCTTTGTATCTAACTTTACCCATTAAACATGTATTGTTGTTTTTCTTATTCTTGATGAGCTTTGTTTTCACCTGAATTCTGATGCATATATTAAATGCATGAATTCTTTGTTCTCCTTTGCTTTTTAAGCATGTTAAATGACTGCCTAATTCTGTGATCTTTCATGTACTTATAGCCCCAAAATTACATGTTTCCTATCTCTTGTTTTTTGTCTTTCTTCCTTCTGGTGTTTTTGCGTAATGAGCGTGATAAATTTCAGACATCGAGCATTTTGTTCGTTGATGCACCAGTCGGTACTGGCTTCTCTTATTCCACAACTGCCTCTGGTTGGTACGTCACAGACACGCAAACCGGCTGGCAAGTCTATAAGTTCTTGAAGGAAGTGAGTAAAATTAATCAAACTGATGTTATATTTCTGTTTTCACTTCTGAGAATGCTATTGAGTAAATTATTTTTTCTTAAGAAGCTTCAATTAGAAGGTTGATCTGCTTATTTGATGAGATTTTGTTCTTTGTTTGGAATGCAGTGGTTGATTCAACACCCGCAGTATTTGAATAACCAATTATTTGTTGGTGTTGATTCTTATTCGGGCATTTCTGGCAGTCTTGTAGTCAAACATATTATGGATGGTAAGTAGCCATGAGATTCGATACTGAGTTACATTTTTCTTTTCAGCATTCTGTTGTTGAACAGTCTGAAAATGGCTTGCAATGCTCAAACTCTGCTGATTGCACTTTTCAGGCAACGAGGCCGGTGTTGTCCCACGCTTGAATCTCAAGGTATAAGGGAAATCTAAGCTTGGCTTCAAGTAATTATTCAGACTTGCCTAATAATTGCAATCCCCAATTTATGCTTTTTGCATTGTTGCAGGGTTACATTCTTGGATGCCCACGCATCGATGCAGACATTAACGAGAACTCAAAAATTATATTTTCTCATCGCATTGGCCTCATAAATGATGAGCTCTATGAGGTATTTTGCTTTGTGAATAACTTGATGTATTGAATTGTTGGGAAAATCGTAGTTCAAGCAAGAATTAAAATTAGAGTCGGCCAACTCTTCTTGCACTGAATGTTTTAATTTGGATCCACAAACAATTGTATGAGTCCATCATGAACTTTTTGCTTTAGTCGGTTTTGTCACACTCTGAGCAAAATTATTTTCCTGGGATTGCTGAATTTGATGTTTGATCATGGAATGTTCTTGTGCAGACATTGAAGGAGAGTTGCAATGCTAGTTACGCCGACATTGACGAAAGCACATCCTCCCCTGAATGCTATGAGGCATATGAATTTTATGCTCGGGTAAGCGACTTAAACCTTGTTCTTATGCATACTACACGCAATACATGACATTACATCATCGTGGAGATTTTTGTTATTGAATTAGCATTTTCTATGCAGCTTATCAAAGACATAAACAAAAACGACATTTTGGAGCCTAAATGCACCTGGGCATCCCCTCAATCCGGTGGAGAGCTCAGTTATAGATCTCTTGAAGAGAACCCCGATAACTTCATTCTCTCACCTCCCAAGATCCCTGAATTTTGGTGCCACGTAAGTCTCTTCTCTCTCCGCAGACTTGTTTTGTCTCCACATTGAGTACTAAATCTGGAAGGAAATTACGCTTAAGACTTCTAGATCATGCGATCTAGTATGCTACCATCATTCATTTAAGCACGACCAACCATGTTGCTTCGAGTCTCACATACAAAGCTTCAATTTGTCGAGAAAATTTTAGTGAAAAATCGATGTCTGGCATTGCTCGTGATTAACTTGATGGTGTGTAAAGGGTACTAAACATGCATCGACTTGATTTGCAGAACTTCAACTATGCCATGTCCTACTGGTGGGCGAATGATCAAGGCGTTCAGGAAGCTCTCGGCGTGCGGCTGGTACACTCCCAGCGCTCGCGTTATTCTCGAAGAAGCTAATGAGTCTTAAAGTTCTTACTTAATTTTCATTGTTTTGATTTCTTTTATCAGGGAATAGTTGGAAACTGGGTAAGATGCAACAAGTCACTGCAGTACACAATGGATGTGGACAGTGTCCTCGACGTTCACAAGAACCTCAGCTCTGCAGGATTGCAAGTTCTCGTATACAAGTAAATTCAAACATACTTGTCCCATGTCCTACCTCGTAGTTCTTCAATCCAAATCCACACTGATTGGGGCATTAGTCGAACTTTCTCACGGTTGAGTTGAGAAAAATCCTGCTGCTTTTCGGCTGGATTACTCTTTCACTCTAATTGAAGCGATCTCGCTCTCTTTCTGAACTATTGCGAAACTTTCTTGTTCTTACAGTGGCGATCACGACCTCACCATCCCGAGCACGGGGACCCAACAGTGGATCAAGGTGCTTAATCTGACGATTGTGAATAATTGGCGACCGTGGCTTGTCGATGGCCAGATCGCTGGGTCAGTATTCTCGAGCCGACGTTCTCATCTCCTTAACCCTTTCTGGTTTCATTCTTTCCTTTTCGTTTTGTGATAAATAAGTCCTTATTCCTTTCTGAATTATTGATGTTTGCAGCTATACGATCAAGTATTCGGAGCACGGCTACAGATTGACCTATGCTAGTATCAAGGCAAGATCGATTTTTCTCTCTTAATCTTTTTTCTTTACGAATTGCTTTCTTTCCTCTCGGAAGTTAAATCATTCGTCCTGCGCACGTCGCGCGCGCGCGTTTGTTGTGCATGTGTTCTGCAGGGGGCCGGTCATTCGCCTCAAGAGTACAAGCGGCGAGAGTGTTATGAGATGTTCCGAAGGTTCATCCATTACTATCCGATCTAACTCGCAACCAGAAGATTGAGGAGCTAGCTCGATTTCCAGTTTCGGATTCTTTTTTCTTTGCTCGCATAAATTTTGTATCCACAAACTCGGTGTAGTCAGTCCAAATAATGAAGGTTTTCAATTGGGAAATTCGGGGGATCGCAGTGGTCGTTGCCGATGGTCGTGGATCGACGGAGATCGCGCGTGCCGAAACATTTGTCGAAGCATTTACAGAGAGAGATGCTTGTACATGATCCTTTTGCATATCATGACCCTCGTACTAAGGCGAAAAATTTAATAATACACGACATAATGTCATATAAAGCCCGTGAACAAGTGACGTGGGTCGATAACTTTAAGGGTGCGTTTGGCATTGCCAAGTAGAAAGATGTGTCCTATCCTCGGACATGGACAGCATAAATCTAAACATGACTTGATTAAATACCGGATAAGTTATCCGGGCCGAGTCGGTTGGATTAGATTATCCTGATCGAATAACATAAGAAGTTCTCTGGTGCTTCGCCGTTTTGCGGTGATTCGCCTCTCTCTCTCTCTCTCACTCTTGCTCGCATGAGTTGCAGCGGCCTCATATGACCACCACGGCAACGGGACTAGCTTGGCCGTGGCTATCGTCAACTACGACGACCGCCGCCGCCGTGTCGGGCTTTTTTCCAAGCTATTTATTTGATGTTTTATCCCAATCATGCTACAAGATTTTGCACATCGAGCCTTTTATTCGGTACTTCTTCAAACAAATACTAAAGATGTAAAATACAATGGTCGGAAGATGAATAATACGAAGGCGTGAACGCATCGGATCTTTAATAAGCAGGCGAAATTACCAAAAAAGTCTTGAATCTATTGCACCGCATCCAGTCCCGTCTGATTTCATATTCCAGTGACCAAACGCAGCTGAAAAAAAGTAGAATACAACGGTCGGAAGATGAATAACATGAAGGCATCAACACATCGAGTCTTTAATAGGTAGGGAACATTACTAAAAAAATCTTGCACCTATTACATTTGTACCGATTTAATTCTAAACCTTTTAACAATTTGTCAATTGAGTCATTACGGTCAATTTTGGCGGGGAATCGCTATCGTGGCATGGCCAGCGTTGACGAACATAATTTTTGTAATTTTTTTTTTAAAATGATTGAATCTTTTATTATTTCATTTATTATTTATTATTCTTTCCTTTTTCTTTTCTTTATTGTATTGGCGAGGGTCACCGGTGACCCTTGACGGCCACTAAGGCCTCACCCCCCTTTGCGGCCGGTGAGAGCCTTGCCAGCGGCTCAGCGGCCGTTGACAAAGGAAAAAAAAAAAGCAAAGTAAAAAGGAAATATAAAAGTCCCAATCTCTTTAAAAAAGAAAATATCCACGTCAGTGCCGGCCATGCCACATAGGAGGATCGATATCTATGTCGGCGATTTTCCGGCCGTAATTGGCCGAAATGACTCAATAGATAAATTTAAGATTGAATTGGTCAAATCGAAATGTTCAGAACTTTCTCGGTAATTCAATGATCCGAACCATGACAGTGGATCGGGATCTTCTGAATTCGATAATATCCATAATTAACCTAATCCTATTTGTTGTTTCTGTTATAAGTCCTTGCTCTACAATCACACCCCTCGTGGAGTTCTTATCCACACTTGACCTCCCCCCCTCCTTCAATTCGAATTTGGGGAATTTTCAATTTCAGTGTGGAAAGCAATGACTCATCAAGTCATCAGCTTCCTATCTAGCCCTTATCAAAACTCGATTTTCCTTATTATTTTAATTTTAAAATATTTTTTTCTCTCTCTCTCCTTTTTATTTTTTTCTCCCCCTTTGAATTTCAGAAAAAAAATTGAAATTTCATTTTTTCTCATCAATGCCTCCCCTCTCTGCTGCTATTTTTATTTTTTTTTTGTTCTTTTCATGTAAATATTTATTTTATTTATCTATTTTCAAATCCATTTATTTTCGCGATTTCCGATGTTAAGTCATCAGATACGATGTTTATCTATCCACCCATCAACGTCGTCATCGTCATCGTCATCACATAGAAACTAGCAAAGAAGCGCGACCGATTTGGTCTGAAACTAACTTTCTGATAAGCCCCCCCCCCCCCCCCCCCACGCATCAATCTCCGACCTTTCCGAAAATCTCTGTCGACCCAGTTCGATTCCCGGTAGGATTCTTCATGGGTTCGTGTTGCTTTCGTATAAACATGTGATCTTTGCCACTTCCCCGTGAGCACTGTTCGTCTTTCGAGAGGCATTGATTGATTCCTTAGTTTCGTAAGGCCGCGGGTGTTTCGGGTGGAGCTTTGGTTTTCTGGTAGATGTTCTTCGCTTGATTTTTCTACTTCTTTTTCTTTTTCTTTCTTTGCTGTTGGGTTAATTTCCTTTGCATGCGTGAGACGTTGGATGCTGAGTTTCCCTGAGTGATCAGTGGAATTGCTGCTGCTTGTTTGTGTCGATGATGATGTCAACGTGTTTGCTTACATATCGGATGATTTTGGGGGTGTCACTTGCTGATTTCGGAGTTTCGGTTGATGGGTGATTCCGTTTTTTTTCTTTTTGGGCTTGTTTGTTTCGATTTGGATTGATTGTAAATTTAATTGGTACTGCTGTTTGTGTTACAGAGATTGATCGCGCGCATGAAAAGAATGGAGTTGGGAAAGATTTTGTTTCTTCTTCTCTGTACTAGTCTGACCATAGCTGGAGTGGTAAAGCAAAGTTCCCTCTTTTTTTCGTAGTCTGTGTTTTTAAATTTGGCCTGTTTGAAACTGAAGTAATGTCCGGTTATATGTTTGCGATTCGGGATGGATTATGCAAACAGGTTGGCGCTCCGCCGACATGCCCTGCCACTGACGTTGGTGGTGAATGTGGTGATAGTGATGCTTGGAAAGGAGATTTTTTCCCGGGCATTCCTAACATTAAGTATGAGGTGAGGCTTTTCGGCAGAGAAAAGGTCCGCTTAGCTTCGATTTCATTGCAATTTTACTTAATCAACTTCGGGTTAGGGCCCGCAAAAGTTCGCAGGAGATCGTGTTTTGTTTTAGCTACTACATGCAGATTAAAGTAGTAGATACGATTATGTTGTGGTGTATATTGAAAGAACATTCAGTAATTTTGCTTGAGAACTCAAAGTCTAATTTTGAACTGTGTTATTTGCTGTTGGAAGTGCCTGCTGGTTGAGATTCTCAATTTGTATGACGTGTTTCTTTTTTAGGGTCCTTCAAGCAAGAACCCACTAGCATATAAGTGGTATAATGCCGAAGAGGAGATACTAGGCAAGAAAATGAAGGTGGGTTCTTTTTCTTTCCCTTGGTTTCTTTTTTACCTTTGCAGATCAGTTGGGCAGGTTATAAATTTTGATAGCTGGCTGATGTTTGCAGGATTGGCTAAGATTCAGCGTCGCCTTTTGGCACACGTTCAGGGGAACAGGAGGTGACCCATTTGGTGCTGCCACAAAGTTTTGGCCCTGGGAGGATGGCACGAATTCTTTGGCAATGGCCAAAAGGAGAAGTAAGTATTGTTTATCTAGGAAGTGCTCAATAACTGTGTTTCAGTTTGGAAAATATTTCAGTTTGGATTGTATATAGGAATTAGGGCTGACACCTTTTCATTTCATTCTGCATTCGATGAACAAAACAGTGAGGGCCAACTTTGAGTTCTTGAAGAAACTTGGAGTTGATCGATGGTGCTTCCATGACAGGGATATAGCTCCTGATGGCAAGACATTGGAGGTGAGTAAATACTCGAAGTTACTTTTGGTATTACAAGTTCTTATGTAGATTTCGGTTGCACAGGACAGTTTTAGAAGGTAATATTTGTCACTGCTTATGATCTTAGAAGAAAGTTTGAAATACCCGTTCTCAAATTGTGCGGACGCAGCTGCCCATGAAAATTCTTGATCCAGCAGTCGAGCTTAAGTTTGTTCTTTTTTTTCTTTATTGTCACAGGAATCTAATGCAAACTTGGATGAAGTAGTGGCCCTTGCTAAGGAGCTGCAGGTAGATTTCTGGACAAACAGGATATTGATTGTTTTTGTTACAGCTGTGGCATACTTTTTGGATGTGATTCCCCTACGATGCCTTTTTCACTCAATTTATGAAGTCTTCTAGGCTATTGCTTGGACACTTAAAAAATTCATAACCAGACTTCAAATTTTCTATGTTAGAAGCATTGGCTTAGCGTTGGTTGATGGAGTGTTTGGATGGATGACGATTCCATATTATTGCTGAGAGTACCATCATTCATAAAGCATATGCATAAGCTATGAGGATCTTTTGCCCCTATTTTGTAAAATATGATCAAACTTGATGTCCATGTTTTCTAATTCATGTTTCCATTTTCTTGATATTATGGGTATAATTTGTTCCATGCAGTAGATTTTTGGGAAGTCTCTCAATTTGTGTAGTTTCGTTGTTCAGTTATTCTTTTTAATCATTTTTAAGAAGTTCTTTCTATTGCTGCTCTAGACTCTTTCATGATCTTGACTGAGATGAGATCTAGCAATAGTATGCCATTATAGTGGATGCCCATGTTATCTCATTAAGCGTCAGCCATTGTTAGTCAAAATGCTATACTACACTAGCTTCTCTCCGTTTTTTTTTGGTGGCTTGAACAGGAGTGCATGAAATTAAAAATTGTTTAAGTGTCTCCCATGATACGAGTGAATTAAGTTCCCTTTAGGTCCACGAATACTCTGGCTTCTCAGTTGATTTCTCTTATGCATGCAGGGAAATGAAATCCGTCCTTTGTGGGGTACAGCTCAATTGTTCGTGCATCCTCGATTCATGCATGGAGCTGCCACCAGGTAATACATATGAATGTGCATGCTTATCTATACAAAAACTTAGTGTGTATATAATCATATATTCCATGCGTTTCTCAACAGCTCTGAAGTTGGGGTATATGCATATGCGGCTGCTCAAGTCAAGAAAGCCATGGAGGTAAACATTTTTTGGTAGCTGTTGTTTCTTTTATCTGTATTGACTTCTGGTTAATACTGTATCTTATGGCTTCACCTGGACAGGTCACTCACTATTTAGGAGGAGAAAACTATGTCTTTTGGGGTGGTCGTGAAGGATATCAGACTTTACTGAACACAGACATGGGACGAGAGCTAGATCACATGGTATGTTTGAAAGCATGCCCTTACGTTACTCTTAGACTTTTGCCTTTTTAAGCTTGCTTGATACCGGCCGCATCGCCTAAATCATTTAGTAGTTATATTATCCTTCGACTCGGCTCAACATCCTATCCTTAAAATACCTTTTTTCATAATTGACAGGCAAGGTTCCTTGAAGCAGCTGTTGCCTACAAGAAGAAGATTGGATTCAACGGTACCATCCTTCTTGACATTCAAATGGAGCAGTTCTGATAGAATTAGTCATTTATTAGATTAGGGATTATTTGGATTCTTGTTCAGACTGTTCTACATTTAGCATCTGTTAGCTCTGCCTCTGAAATTCTTTCACTAAGTGTTTGTTTTGCCCGCCATATCAGCTTTGCTTGATTGTCCTTTTTCATGTGTTTTACCAGGGATTCTATTGCTTGAACCTAAGCCTCAAGAACCAACGAAGCATCAGTACGATTCTGAATTTGTGCTCTGAATTGGTAAAACAGCTTTCATGAATCACCTTTACCTATGGGAATCTTGTTACAGGTATGACTGGGATGTTGCTACAACTGCCAATTTTCTGCAGAAGTATGGCCTTTTAGGTGAGTATCGAATGATTTACCGGCCCATGCAGGAATATCAAATTAATGAATTGCTGTCTTGTTCGTTTCCTTTACAACTTGCATTATCATGTAAGGTATCCGCCGTTAGTGTACCTACAATTCTGAGAAAGTTGTTGACTTTGAGATCTTCTTCATTGATGTACTATTCCTTTTCAAAAACCATGTCTTGATGTTGCTCTGTCCATTCCCTTGCAGGAGAATTTAAAATTAATGTTGAGTGTAACCATGCAACTTTATCCGGGCACAGGTATTTCATGCTATTTGATGCTAAAACTGAATGCTGATTTGATGCGACTAAATTCTTAAATTTGGCTTGTGTACCGGAAGATCCCATTACTTTGGTGCAACTTTACATCTTGTTTTCATTTTTGTAGTTGTCATCACGAGCTAGAAACCGCTAGACTTAATGGTCTACTTGGAAACATTGATGCCAACACTGGCGATCCACAGATTGGTACTTGCCTATATCCAAATCTGGCATGTGTGTAATTAAAACATTTTAGCAGTATTAGTAATTAAATAATGCAATTATTGACAGGATGGGACACTGATCAGTTCCTCACTGATATTGGAGAGGCGACAATGGTCATGCTCAGTGTGGTCAGAAATGTATGTCAAAAATTAATTTTGCTTTTGGATTGTGAAGAGTCATGTTGGGACAAGCTTATGTAATGCAACTTCATAACTATGTTCCTCATCCTTACTTTTTATAGGGAGGATTGGCACCAGGGGGCTTCAATTTTGATGCCAAACTGTAAGCATCCTTTTCTTCTCTTCTTGATGGAATTTTTTTTTTGGATTGATACTGATTATAGAGGGCATGAGGCATAATATGGATTTTGCCTAATATTGTTTTCAGTGCTTCATTTTCATGTCTTTTGCTGTAGTATAAATGTTGTTTGCGTGATATTGTAGACGAAGAGAGAGCACGGACGTCGAAGACTTGTTCATTGCTCATATTAGTGGAATGGACACCTTGGCTCGTGGGCTTCGAAATGTCGCCAAGCTGATTGAGGTGAACTAGTTACTTCTGTTCAACTCATTGATGTTCTAGTCCGACAGAATAGATACTCTCTCTCAATCGAAATGACTAATTATGTTCACTTTTCAAACATAGGATGGTTCTCTGAGCGAGCTGGTCAGGAAGCGATATGAGAGCTTTGATACCGAATTCGGGGCTCAAATTGAGGTACTTCCTCAGAGCAAGCATCTCCTCTTACTATACCTTTCAAATATGCACCGATTCTTCACTATTTTTTTTTCCTTTTTTTATGGTTGATCCTGAACTTTCTTCGTCAGGCTGGTAAGGTGGATTTTGAAACTCTTGAAAAGAAGGCTATGGAATGGGGTGAGCCCAAGGTTCCTTCGGCCAAGCAGGTAATACAGAAGGCTTCTTACTAAATATATAATGAGCGCCTTACATACTTCACTTTTAAAATTCTGTTCTTAAGTTCTGTGCTTGGCTTATGTTTCTAATCTTCCTTGTTTATGTTAAGACAGATGCTTTAAATTCTAGGGATGTTACCACATGGCTAGCAGTTGCTTGATCTTAAGTCATAGGTCCTAAGTGTGCTAAACACAGTTGTTGATTAAATAACGCCACATGTTGTCCTTTAGAAAACGAAGTCTCAAGGAAGATTTAGTCCTAATCAAATAATGCCACATGTTTCATGTAGCAAAGGAATTTAACTAACTAGCTATGGCAATGGACCAAAGTGCTTTCGTGTAATGCATTTTCTTTTGGGTGTGTGTTACTAGAATAGATATAGGAGATAATAATTGTCCAATATTGCTATATCTATTGCCTTGATAAGTAGTGTCTGAAACATTAAAAGATATGAAGCGACAATGTTTGTTATCAATCACAAATTATGAATATCTCTAGTACTGTCTCTTTGATCCTAAGTTATTTCCTCTTGCTTCTTTCTAGCATGCTTTCCATTTCTCGATTATGATTTTGCGCTGAGCTACTCTTGATTTTCTTTGGTGGTTTCCACACCTAGTACTCGAAACCTCATATGTCCCTATACTGTAACCTCAGAATAAACCCTTAAGAAAACGTTTTTTTTCGGCACTCGGTTCCTTTAGATGACTAGCCACATCTGCTTCTAGATCATAGTATATTGACACATTCTCGATCTCTGGAGTGTTTTTTTTCCCTAGCAAGCATTATCCTTTTTCAGATGTTTGTGTGGCTTGACCTGATGATGTACCTGTTTGCGATTTTTTCAGGAACTCGCGGAGATGATTTTCCAGTCAGCACTGTAGATAAAGCAAGGGTTTTTTTTTTAATTTTATGTTTCCTGCAAAAAGTTATATGGTTCACTTGGATATAGTGCTAGTTTTGAAAGAACACTTTGGTAACTGTAAACTCGGATGGTTTTAGCAAATCAAAATCAACCCTAATGTTCTTGGAGCATTGTCACCGTGGCTTTATCTTAATTTCGCACTTGCATGTGGTTTCTTTTATCCCTCTTTCTGATTCTCAGGAGATAGCTATATCTTTTTGCTACTGGGTTTATGAATATTTAGGGTTTACTAGTGAAAGATGTAGACTTTTCATGTTTAGGGTAACGTATAATTTTGCACCAGTTAATCTGATTGATGCGACATGACTGACCAATGACCATATGATGTGCATCTCAGTGTCTGAAGTTGAAAAATTATAGTTTACGATCGACTTGTTTTGCCTCGTGCTAGTCGTTACTCCACTTGGTGCACTAGCAATAGAAGTTGCATTTTGCGAGATTAGCTTAGCTCTGTGCTAGTCTTCTTACTTGTCAGCATCTAGCGCACATTGGCAGTGAGCTAGTTTTGATACTCGTTGAATAGGATCGATCATATTACAATAAACGTCTGACGGGTATGTTTTTCGTGAGGTTTAACCCTTATGAAAACGATCGTCATGTTGTTAGAAGAGTTCTCTTGCGATTTACTTGGAATGTTAATGTATCTATTCATCTCGTATGCAAGTACGAATTCTGACGAGTGATTATCGCATTGGCCGACTGTCTGTTTATAACTACTTGACTTGGTATCTTTTGCACTTATCTTTCAATATGTACACGCACCCGTGCGAGCGCACGTACCCACGCGTGCATGTTTAGCATCATCCGAAAGCTTAAATCTTAGGTTTTACTTTATTGAGTAGTTCAAATGTGGCTTATTTTATGCATTGCAACCATAAAAAAGCTCATCCAAAATCCTGACTGAGTAACTACTGAGGAGGAGCCTCTATCAAATCTGGGAAACGTGTATACTTTGCTGATATTGAGCTCTATTAGTACGATCATGACGTTGGCATCTTTTAGTAAATGCTGCACCTGCTCACTGCACGCACTCATAACTCACATGGGCCCTAAAAGAACCATTCCTTCGCTCGAGGAAGACGGCATCAGGACCTCGGCGATGAATGCTGCATCGTCATTCCGCGTCGTTGCGTGGAATCATCTGGAACGCGGGATTTGAGTCCAAACCAAGTGCTTTACTGCGTCGATGAGCAGACTGTTTGTTATGAATCGTGGGCATGCACAGTGAGCATTTGAACCGACGGAGAGATCTTCCTAAATTCTCAAAAACATGGAGCGGTTGGTGTTTCTTGTTCTTGCGCTGTCATCTCTCTCACTTTGGATTCTCACAGACAGTGATCAAGACTCTCCCATGATAACCCGGTGAACTTACTTTCTATCTTGAAACCGGGTTGGTGATATATCAACTCTCGGGCGCATCGCTCCCCTCGCACCTTGTCGTGTTGGCCACGAAAATGGCACGCCCAAGATCACCATAATCAGAAACTGAAACACGTTAATGAAGAAATTATCGATTCGCGTACCTGGTTTGGAATCCATCGAACTTGACGCGGAATTTGTGACGGTTTCCGAACACGAACTCAAGTGCTTCTCCCCTATATCCTTCGTTAGAATACTGGTCTAATGAGATTGTCACTCACGAGAAGAAAATTCTCTCTAGATCCGTATGTGAGTCAGATTGTGCATCATCAGGTTAGGGGAGGAATTTGAGCGCTATTTATAGAGTTTTTGACCACGGGCTCTCTCGTTACGGGCCGGGCCGTACTCGGCCCACACCAGCCAGCCCCATATTAGACTTATTAAAAACCCATATATCTTACCTTTATTAGACCAAACTAATTCAGTTAATTTCAATTAATGAAGCCCACATTAAGAAATTCTTACATGTCGGTCATTGAACGACGGATCGGACAGCATGCCGTACGATTCAGCAACGGTACATTTATCTGGAACGCGGGATTTGAGTCCGAACCAAGTGTTTTACTGCGTCGATGAGCAGACTGTTTGTTATGAATCGTGGGCATGCACAGTGTGCATTTGAACCGACGGAGAGATCTTCCTAAATTCTCAAAAACATGGAGTGGTTGGTGTTTCTTGGTCTTGCGCTGTCATCTCTCTCACTTTGGACTCTCACAGACAGTGATCAAGACTCTCCCATGATAACCCGGTGAACTTACTTTCTATCTTGAAACTGGGTTGGTGATATATCAACTCTCGGGCGCATCGCTCCCCTCGCACCTTGTCGTGTTGGCCACGAAAATGGCACGCCCAAGATCACCATAATCAGAAACTGAAACACGTTAATGAAGAAATTATCGATTCGCGTACCTGGTTTGGAATCCATCGAACTTGACGCGGAATTTGTGACGGTTTCCGAACACGAACTCAAGTGCTTCTCCCCTATATCCTTCGTTAGAACACTGGCCTAATGAGATTGCCACTCACGAGAAGAAAATTCTCTCTAGATCCGTATGTGAGTCAGATTGTGCATCATCAGGTTAGGGGAGGGATTTGAGCGCTATTTATAGAGTTTTTGACCACGGGCTCTCTCATTACGGGCCGGGCCGTACTCGGTCCACATCAGCCAGCCCCATATTAGACTTATTAAAAACCCATATATCTTACCTTTATTAGACCAAACTAATTCAGTTAATTTCAATTAATGAAGCTCACATTAAGAAATTCTTACATGTCGGTCATTGAACGACGGATCGGAATGCACGCCGTACGATTCAGCAACGGTACATTTATCTGGAACGCGGGATTTGAGTCCGAACCAAGTGTTTTACTGCGTCGATGAGCAGACTGTTTGTTATGAACCGTGGGCATGCACAGTGTGCATTTGAACCGACGGAGAGATCTTCCTAAATTCTCAAAAACATGGAGTGGTTGGTGTTTCTTGGTCTTGCGCTGTCATCTCTCTCACTTTGGACTCTCACAGACAGTGATCAAGACTCTCCCAGGATAACCCGGTGAACTTACTTTCTATCTTGAAACCGGGTTGGCGATATATCAACTCTCGGGAGCATCGCTCCCCTCGCACCTTGTCGATCATTGAATGACGGATCGGAATGCACGCCGTACGATTCAGCGACGGTACATTTCAGGTCGGCCGAAGACAGCAGGGAGCGAATGCTCCGAAAGCACCTAGTTAACGTTCTGAGATTTTCCTGTCTGAATCTAGATTAATACACAGCATTGTTCCAAAAAATCAACGTAAGATCATTGGAAACACGTGGTTGTCCTGTTTAGCTGGAAAGTCTTAATAGATGTACCTTATCTCTTGTGTTCGAGTTAATGTCAAAGCTTCAATCCTAACACTCGTTCAACACCTGGTTTGGCGTACCTCACCTTCAACGGCGAGAAAGGGCGTTCAACCCCCTCCAACTTTTGGCAGCTAAACATGCCATCGATCCTCTAATTATTGCACCGAATCTCTGGTCGTGATCCGACGACACAAAATGCCATTTTAAACGAGCAAATCGCGTCTCGACACAGCGCGAGAGTCCATTAAGCAGTACACAAGCCAAGCCGACCCCTCCTTGGATCGGTCTGCTAGACTTAGCCAATCACATAACGGGAAAACCGCGATGGGATCCACGCCGCCGTGAAGAAGCACGAGTTTCCACTCGTGTTTCTTGATTCAGCTCGGCTCTGTCTACCCGCATCGTCCGAATGCCGAGCCTGCGTGACGTTTCCACCAATTAGGTAGCTATGACCATCAGTATGGTACACCCTAGAGAGTCCTCAATCCAAAATTCAGGGGCATGCACGACGAGCATAATCTTTTTAAGAGTCAAAAAAGGAGCGTGAGTGAAACACGGCTCCAATATCACCTAAGGAAATCTCCCTCCATTCTCCAAAAGTATGAAGCTGTGGGCGCTTCATCTTCTTGCTCTGTGTCTTCTCTTCCAATCCGGACTCTCGCAAACGGTGGTCAAGTCGCTTCCCGGATTTCCTGGCGACCTCCCTTTTTATCTCGAAACCGGGTCAGTGAAACCCCTCTCGCTCTCCGAATCCATTCATAAGATCAGTCTAATGCCCGTATAGGTGTTTCGAGCCGCGGCGCCTGTTAGTAGATTACGCGATCATCGTCTCTCTCTCTCTCGACACTTGTTTGAATCTTTGCATGTTGTGACTGATTCTATCCCCTTTTTGCTTTTAGATACATCGGAGTCGGGGAGCTGGAAGATGTTCAGCTGTTTTATTACTTTGTCGAGTCGGAGAGGCGTCCGAAGGACGACCCTCTGGTGCTGTGGCTCACCGGCGGCCCCGGTTGCTCCGCTCTCTCCGGATTGTTGTACGAGATCGGTGAGTTCCCCCTTTGAACCTTTTGCTTTTGCCAAACACGGTTCAGGAGAAACCGAGCTTAGCCCGTCAGATGTGGTGGTCAACCTCCGAGAGTGAAATCTGACATTCACAGTTCATGATAGTTCTGAGACAAACATTCTCCGTTGTCCGTTTGAGTGATTGTTTGTTTTTCAAAAGTCTATCCCATTGCAGAATAATGATTGTATATTTAATAAATATGATTGAATATTCAAATATTAAATCACGTCTTTGTATATCAATTTAAACTTTTAGAACGGTCGGCAGTGATCTCATCAAATTTGACATGTCATGGGGCTTTCAAATCTTTCCAAATTTCTTATTCGTCTCCATTAAAATATTAAATATTTAATCACACATTCATCTATTAGCTTAAATTTTAATAACGGTTGGTAGCGATCTTATAAAATTTTATAATATAAAAATCAATAGTTTGGTATGGATCCGATTAGAAGAGAATACAGTCTTTTCCTATACTAAGGGTGCGTTTATTTTACGGAAAACGTAACGTTTTTTGAAAATGTTTTCCAAAAAATCATTTTCCAGGAAAATAGTTAGTTTTCCTTTGTTTGGTGATATGTAATCGAAAACGTTTTCTGGTGTTTGGATCTCATTTAGAAAATGATTTCAATCCCACGATTTAATCTCAGGCAAAAAATAATTTCGAATTTTTTAATATTTTTATTTTTAAAAATAAAAAAGAAAAATGAAAAAAGAAAGAAAAGAACAAAATATTAAAAAAGTCGAGGGAAGCAATTCCGGAAAGTGTTTTCACCTTCTTAGATTAGGGAATTCACTTTCCTAATTTTATACATGAATGTTTTCCTTGACCGAAAAGTGTTTTCAGTTGATTAATCATTTTCGGCGAACCAAACAGATGAAAGTCTGAAAAACGGATTCCCGGAAAATACTTTCCTTTAAACAAATGCACCCTAAGAAAAACGCGTCATAGATGCGTTAGCGATGATTTGGACTTTCATGGCCATCGTCCTGCTATCTTAATCGATTAATACCCTTTGGTTTGCAAACCGAACTCCCCACTATTTAAGAGACAATGACATCTCGTTTTGGTTCAAAAAGTTCACGTGGCACTTGAATTTCGCAGGCCCTTAGTCAAAATAACATAAGCCGTATGCGATTAACCGATTTACGGCATGATATGAAGATTGTGCATCATCGCAAAAGAAAATGCACATGTCATTAGACTTTGAAATTTTATGTATTCTAATGAGCATGTTCATTACACGTAATGCAGGTCCATTTACGTTCAATTACGGCAATTCTACTCGATACAGACCAACCCTAAAATTGAATGATTATTCATGGACCAAGGTAACAAGAATTTGATTTTGTGCTACCTAACCTTCATAATTTGATTGGTCAACCGCTGACCATACCTAATCAATATAAAAAAAAAAAAATGAACAATCCTTATCCGGAACCACTCATATATTAGTTGTTTCTTGTCCTATATATTGGCAAGCCATTCATGATATATTCCCACAGGTGGCCAATATTATATTCCTAGATCAGCCCGTCGGAACCGGATTTTCCTACGCAAATAGCTGGGAAAGCTACGATATAAACGACTACGTTTCGGCCGCCGAAACTTATGAATTTCTGAGGAAGGTAAAGTGAAAAAATATATATATATATATATATATATATATATATATATATATATATATATTCATGTATGTAAAGGAGAGCCTCCACATAATTAAAATTTATAATCTCTTTTTAATCTTTTTGGCTTTGTTGCTTGAGTTGTGATATAGTGGCTGAAGCTCCATCCTGAGTTTCTGGACAACCCGCTCTACATTGCTGGGGATTCTTACTCGGGCATCATTGTTCCAATGGTCACTCTGCAAGTTGTTAAAGGTATGGTTATTTATCCATTTTTCTATTCGGCTTACTCGTCGGGAAGCATTTATATCTGCAATTCTATGTGTCAACATTTATGTATTCCGAGAAGTTCTAAGTTAAAATAAAAAAAAAGAGAGAGCCAAAGTGCGTACTCCCGAAATTTAAATGGACCAAAAAGTGAAAAAAAGAAAAAACAAGTCGATTCAGACACGTCCTAAGAGACGATTTCATATGTTTCTTTTTTGCGGATCTCGGTCCATTATGATTTCTACCAGGGAATAAAGCCGGGTTGGAGCCTGAAATGAATCTTGAGGTAACTATCGCCAGCATCACGTTAGTACACTATTGATTAATTGCCATTTCCTCTTCGAAATAATGAAACTTATCGGTTGAATTCGATTCAGGGCTACATGCTCGGAAACCCTTTAACAAGGGAGTATAGTGACCTCAACTCGAGAGTCCCGTTTGCTCATTTGAAGGGTCTTATATCTGATGAGCAGTATGAGGTAATTGACTTCCACTGTGCCTACAGCATATATCATGTGAAAGAAAAAAAATGTTCATTGAGATGCATACTGCATGTATACAAATTCAGGAATTTTTCTTAATTGTCAAGACTGATATCGTAAAAGTCGAGAAATTAGCAAAAGGGTGAAAATATGTGTTATGGGATTTTGCCCCACTTCGATTCTTTCCCTGTTAATCACCTTTTTTTTAATTTTACATTTGGTTCGAAAATTAACGTCCATCTTTTTTATGCATTTCAGTCGGCTAAAATTGATTGTAACGGCGATTACATAAACGTCGATGAAAGCAATGCCGATTGCGTCGACGATCTTAAAGCTGTGACCATGGTTAGTCGTCGTCGGCATTCATTTTGTTTGCTTTTCTCCTCTTTATTTATTTCTTTATTTATTTTTTCTTTTGCCCCTTTTTGATCAATTTTTTATTTCTTAATGGGAATTTCATGTATTGAACTTTTGATTTTTACTTACTATAGTGCCTGGAGGACCTAGATACGGCAAACATACTGGAACCGAGCTGCGTGACTCAGACTCCCAAGTCGACCTTGGGTGATGCGTGGGAACCCAGCTTAATAAATCAAGACCGTTCACTGCTACTTTTGCCCACGCTTAGAGCTCCCCGGGTTTGGTGCCGGGTAAGTCTCAGTTTTTTTCTTCCTCGTTTTGCCAGATTTTTTCGGTAAAAAAATAGAGAAAATCACACAAACAGTCCCTAAACTTTGGCCCAATATATAGTCTGATCCCCGAACTTTTAATTTGTTCGATGTGGTCCTTGAACTTTAACCCAATGTGCAATGTGGTCTTTAAACTATTAACTTGTTCAGTATTGTCCATGAACTTTTGATACACGTTCAATTTAGTCTCTAAATTATATGAAAATATTCAATGTAGTCTTTCTATTAATTCAAGTTTAGGGACTACATTGAACATGTGCCAAAAGTTTAGAGACCACATTAAATATTAGGTTAAAGTTCCGGGACTGCGTTGAATAAATTAAAAGTTTATGAACTATATTGTACATTGATTCAAAGTTTAGAGACTGTTTGTGTTATTATTCCAAAAAGATACGAATCAATTTCTTGATTGAATTGTACTTTTTACCTTTTGCTTAGTTTAAATTTAGTAGCGTATGTCTTTGACTCTTTTATACTTGAAACACCTGGAATTTCCATATCATATAAATATTGACACATAAATTCACATATAAGGTTTTCATAATTTATCAAAATTTGAATAATATATATTTTTATTTTATCGGAAAAACAATATGTCGTTTTTTTTGGTTTTATGAAAATAGACATGACTTAATTAATTAGATCTTTGGTGGATCATCATCTATCTTCAATTGGTCAATTTACAATTTTCGGATTATTTTGGTTCTCTACTTCATCATCCATTCTCCAGTCAAGAATATCACATACACGTTAACATTTACGTTCAAGATAAACGGGAAAAAAAGAGAGTAATGTTCACGTCATTGATCAGTAGTCACACCATAGTAATTATGGACAATGCAACTATGTTACGCTTTAATTAGTATTCATTTACATCGAAATTCGATAATTAATACATCAGATTAAAGAACAAGGTTAGAAATTAGAAACGACAAATCTCGAAATCTGATGACCTACCTATTTTCTTGATCACAAAAATAATTGATCTTTTGTGAGGAGTTGCAAATGATTTCTTGTAAAATATTCCTAATCTGTCCGAGGTTGAAACTATATCACAAACGAAATCGACTTGAGGATAATTCCCTTAAAACTCTCTAATCAAATAGTTGGTGACCCATTTTCCTAATTATTGAGTGGCTAAATAGTGAGCACTTATGCTTGAGCACTTTTCATTCAATAAATTCGTATTTTGACCCCCCCCCCCAAAAAAAATACACCCTCAGGCAATTTGACCGGAAATGCCTGACCAAAAAAAAGTAATTTGACAAGAAATTCGTGTGGAATTAGTCATTTTCAACTTAAAAAGAATGAATCATGATCAAATTGCAAAGTTCACAGCTCAATTTTGTAATCGTGTTTTTCAATGCAGAATTATAACTACAAGTACAGCTATATCTGGGCTAGCGATAGAGCGGTTCAAGATGCTCTTCATATCCGAGAGGTATGTCAATTGGTAATAATAATTACACAAACATCACTTTTTAATATTTTTGCTCTTTTTTATTTATATATTTTTGTCTATGTTTTTGATGTGTTCAATGATAAGCCAGGGGACAATTGAGAAGTGGGTAAGGTGCAATAAGACTTTATCATACACATACACTGTCACGGACGTCGTTGACATACACAAAGAGCTCTTGGAAACGGGATTTCGGGCGCTTATTTATAGGTAATTGAGCACTTTTTTGCAATATGATTTATGTCTCGTAGTCGAGCTAAACTTACTTCACTTGATGCACTTTCTTAAACTGTAGTGGCGATCATGACATGGTCATCCCGTACGTGGGAACTCAAGCCTGGATTGATACGTTGAATCTGACGATTTCTGAAGATTGGCATGCGTGGTTCGTCGACGGACAAGTTGCCGGGTTCGGTTTCGATAACAACCTCCTGACTATTGTACAGTTCAATTTCTAGACAAATTGTCCCGACACCGTGGTACTTATGTCGATTTTATCAAACGAGGCTCCCGTATATTTGATAATCGGTGAAAGTATAAGCCTCTCCATCCGAGTTTCCTCGTGATAATGTCGCAAAGTGCATACATACTGTGTCTAGACAATTTGTCCTTTTTTTTACTTTTATTGTATCTTTTATTAGGTATCTCAATTGTTTGTGCTTACTTTGCTCTCTTTTTCTCTCTCTGGTAGGTATGCTACGCTGTATTCTTACTTTCCATCCCTTTTGACATACGCAACCGTCAAGGTAAGGCGATTCATATCCTATAATTTCTTCATTTCAAAGCCCTTTTTGCCTTAGCTTTTTTATTTTCGCATTTTCGTATTCTAATTTCCAACGAAATTGGCTCCTTAGAATTTGCGAGTCGTACGTTGAAAGTGGTGTTGTATGAACTCCTTTTGTGCAGGGAGCGGGACACACGGCTCCAGAATACAGGCCCGAGCAATGTTTTGAGCTGATTAATAGGTGGTTCGATTACTATTACATTTAATTTGCAATTGTAGCTCCCTTTGAGTTCGCCGATACATATAATAAGCATCTCGTCGATGCAATAAAATTTCCGGTGTTCCTATTTGGCAATGATCTTGAAATGGATATCCTCGCTCATCCCTACGAAATCCATATTAGATTGAGCTCCTCGGGCATTTGATAATGTGACACCTTCAAGTGTTTTGCTTACACGAATGTGGTTAACGAACGAGTGGTAATACCGCACTCGATAAGTAACCGATTAAGCATACAACATTTTACATTTTTTTCAATGCACTGACGTGTCTCATGTCATGCGCGACCACCGTTCCATGTGGAGTATGTTTGATTGGGGCCCCGAGGGCACTTACCGTTTACATGATCTACATTATGTACTCGGGAGCATCGCTCCCGTATGCACCTCCTCAGTCATCGAATGATGGACGGAAACGCATACTGAACGATTCAACGACGGCGATTCGGGCCGGGGGGGGGTGCTGCTGCTGCATAATGTCTTTTTCTGGAGTCGATGTCAAATGCTTCAATCCTCACTTTCCCTTATTCAAACTTGGTTTGGTGTACCTCCTCTTCAACGGTACACGAGCCAAGCCAATTTCATGACGTTGCATTCTATAAGAGAAGAGAAATGATTGAGCGACATTTCTTAATTTATTGTGAGAATAACATATTTTAGATTACAAAAAACTTAATAATAAATAATTATAAATTATTGTGAGGACCACTCTTTCAAGAAACTTGTGACTTATAAAGTATTGTTACTCTCATAGTGGCCCAAAAACTGTTATACTAGCAAAATCATTATGATAAATTTTTCTGTGGGCATAGTTGAGAATTCAACTAGAAGCAGACCAACTATAAAAGTGCATCCATATTCATGGACAAAGGTAACAAGAATTTGATTCACCCCCTGCCGGGACTTTGGCTATATCGCCCCCCATCATTTAATTGGTTAATTTTTGCAGGTCGCAAATATTATATTCTTAGATGAGCCTGCTGGAATCGGATTCTCTAAATGACAAGTTTTTTGAATATTCTAGATATTTGCATTCTTCCGTAACAATCAACCCAACTTGTTGGAATTAATTTAGGGTGTGTTTGTTTCACGGAACAATTTGGAAAAATATATTTCTAAAAGTAATTATCTATTTCATGCAAAAGAATTAGTCAATAAATTTTTTTTTATTATCTACAACAATTTATACCTCAACAATTTTGTTGACGGTGAAATTGACTAGTTTACAATATAAGCAATCATTTAAAAAAATATTTTCTAAATTGTCACTTTTTTGTCAAACAAAAACACCATTGCGTGCATATTCAATGATTTGCAAGACGGACGGAACTTCATATCTGCATGGTTAGAATTTTGACTTAATGATAAGCCACGGCGAGGTCACTTGGTTGTCGGTGACTTTTGTTAAATTATATGTTGAGTTTAAGCCGTTTGTGGAACCTGACCCGATTGGATAAATATCCAAGTTTGACGGCACAATAAAAATCATGAGTTGCACTCACTAAGGTTGAACGAATGATAGGAAATATGGGCAAGACAAAATAAAAGCTCCCAAAGAAACCACTAAAAGACAAAAGAGAAGGGGCACATTTCTTGACCTTGTGGCCGTACAAAAGGAAAGACAAGTGGACCAAGGAGTTTTGAGAGAAAAGAAAGAAATAAAATATTAGGGTTTTGTTTCTTTTAGCACTAGCCTAGGTTGTCCTCTTCTTTTAGAAGTGTAGCCGCACAGTGAAGAGTCGTTTATGTAGTGCACAGTAGCCGCCTAGAGTAAAGAAGGAGCCGCATAAGACACGCCCGAACAGTAGCTCGTTCTTCTTGGACGCCGCACAAAGAAAATCCAAAAGCCACACAGCCAGCGTACCGTGTGAGTGCACGATGAGGTAGCTCTAGACACGTAGATATTGTGCCGTGAGTTTTACTTCTATTTGAATTGTGATTTGTATTTTATCTAGCTGTGAAAAATACTTAAATGTACGAGCGATTGTCAACTTTGATTTCCTAATTAATAATAAATTATTTATTACTGACTCTCCTCGTGAATGTAGGTACTGATACTCTGATTAAATCACATAAATCTTGTGTATTTTTTTTTATTGTTTCTCATTTATTTCTCTGGCTCTCTCGCATTTAATTAAATTTGCAAGATCAGGGTTAACTTCCGCGTTCGTTAATATTAAAACAACCTTAGAACAATGTCGAGCCGCCATTGACAAAGACGTCGATTGAGGTTGTCCATGGCGTCCATGACCTCCATTCGAGGTTGGGGGGCTTAATGACCTCGAATCTAAGGTTGTTGCAGCTGTGCTCAGCCTCGATGGCCGCCATGAACGAGAAATAAATTGATATTGCCAGTGGTGTAGATCACAGATTTCCATGAAACTTGTTCAAGGCTGCTAAGGACGCCATTGTTGCCGTGCAGAAGATGAGCAGTGGAAAGAAGAGAAAAGAAAAAAGAAAGAAAATAAAAGAAATTTAAAAAACAAAATAAAAGAAATTTAAAAAACAATGCAAAACCACATCATTTCATTGAAATTCTTTCACACGAAACATCGATCATGCCATGTAAGACGACCAACGATGACTAGATTCCATTAAGAAAATTGAAATTTTTAAAACTAAATTGACATATGTACAATAGATTTAGGACTAATCGGATAATTTTCTCCTATTAATCCTCACTAATCGTCCCTTTTGCATACGTCCGATAAGATTCTTGCCACACAATGTTGGCGGGCATTACCAATTAAGGCTACTTTGAGGTCATACGAGAAGCTATGATGCGAACACGAGATTTTAGTCCAAACCATGCGTTTTACTACATCAATGAACAAACAGTGTTTGTTATAAATTTGGGGCATGCACAATGAGCATTAGCACGGACAAAACCGTATTCTGAAATTCAAAAAACATGAAATGTGGTAAAGTAATATTATCGATTATTCTATTTTTATAATTAATAAAATAATCGATTGCCCGTGTTATGTTTGAGTGAGTGATGGTAAACTCGACGGGAGGACAAGAAAGTATATAATCCAAGGTTATGCACAAGATGACCATGGATAACGATTGTGGTACTCAAAATTAATTCATATATTGTCAGCAGAGAAATTACATTTGATGAGTCCCTAATACTTCTGGGTAAGAGTGATTGTGACAATGTTTATATGGATATGGAGTTCAATTTAAGGTGGACTTGCAACCACAAATTTCTAAGGTAGAATGTGCTAGCATGTTAATCAACACAAATGATACTTATAGCGAGGTGGGGCCTATATAACCAACGGTTGCTGTAATTACCGGGTTTAACAAGGTGCGTGTTCGATCTCCTGACATGTGCATGCAACGGTTTTGCTTTGTTTGTGGTTGAGGAGGTTGTGCCAGAAAATCCTTCTGAAGCTGTTATAAATGCAGGTGGAGTTGGTGTTCATAAAATATCCGTAAAATATCCGTGGTTATGGTGAGGGGCTATGAGAGAGTAGCAGTGAAGTCCAGAATCTAGTGAAGTGACTTGACTCAAACATCAAACTAAGGTAAAAATTGTTCGAACTATATCTTGAGCATGAGCCCGAAAAAGAAATTTTTGTTGATTCAAATAGGTTTTCTAATTTGAGTTGGTTTTTACTAAGGTAGTTTCCTAGTTTGACTAGGTTTTCTATATTGGATCCAACCATGTCTATATATAAGAAGTGTTGCTTCATGAAGAGCATTCAAAAGGCTGCTTCTACGTGAATTACACCCTAAAGTGATTCGAGAGTGATTAAACCAATACATTTTGTGATAAGTGTTACCCCATTGGATTAACTCACTCAAGGTATTATCTACTTTGGTTTGTCCCATACTGAGCATCATGATTTTGTTCTTGACTTATAGGTAAACACTTTTCCAAGAGGTCACCCATCCTAATAATGCTATCTCTTGTACACGCTTAACATAGAAGTTCTAATGCGCTATTACATCAAAGGCATCTTGTGAGTTAATTCCAATTTCACATATATCCTAGGCATACTCTCCCCCTATTCGGTGCGCAATTCGATTTATTTTTGCCTCATTTGCCATCTTAGAAGCCTATCAGGAGCTACTCCTCGTATGGGCCCTTTCGCCTTAATGAACACTCATTGCTTTTATCAGACCGGGGTTATTACAGCAATATTGCGAATTTTTTTGTGAGATTGAGAGATTATTTTGTGAGTAATTGGGAGGGCAAAATGATGTGTCAGTTATATGGTGTAATTGAGGATGGTAAACATCGAAAGTGCTTGTGTGACTCGAGTGTAGTTGTACTATCTATTTTATTGCTTTATTTACAGTGGAATTATGTGTTGCTCTCCTTGTGGACATTGGTTACACCATTCAAACCATGTAAATTCAGTGTCCAATTTATTATTTTATTTTATTGTTCAATTTTTCATTTTCCCACAACAATAAATTTGTCCAAAGGGTATGTTTTTAGTGAAGGTTCACCCCTTCTTATGAAAACGATCAGCATAATGTTAGTCAGAAGAGTTCTTTTGCGATCTATATGAAATATTAATGGATCTATGAATCTCGTATGCAAGTACAAATTCTAATAAGTGATAATCGCATCGACCAGCTTAACGTCCTAATTTCCTCCAAAGTATAATAATGTTAAGGGATAATGAAACAAATGGGTCATGCACTTTGGCCTAATATGCAATGTGGCCCTTGAACTTTAGCCTAACATACAATATTGTCAATTAACTTTTAATTTGTTCAATGTGGTCCCTAAACTTTGAGTAAATGTTTGAACTAATCCTTAAACTATATAAAAATACCCAATGTTATCCTTTCAATAATTTAAGTTCAGAGACAACAGTGAACATTTTCACATTGTTCAGATATTAATTTGAATATCTACCGAAAGTTCAGGGACCACATTAAATAAATCAAAATTTTTGGGACGATATTGCATATTGGGCTAAAGTTCAGGGACCGTATTGAACAAATCAAAAGTTTAAGGATCACATTGCACGTTGGATCAAAATTTAAGGATAATTTGTATCATTTTTCTTAATGTTAACAACTACCCGTGTATTCACACAAATCTTCAGCTCATGCAAGTGCTAGCACTATCGGTGTTTTGTTTGATTTATGTTATTTGACTTTTATTTTTTTATGTTAAAAATTGGTTTTTTCTGGACCTTTATCTTCAAAAATCTTCGCACTTTATGGATTGACTCCATTGAGAAGCTCATCCAAGATCCTTACCACGAGGCACGGCTCAAGAGGGGAGGGAGTTCTTTAGTCAAATCGAGAAACAAGAGAAACATTTAATGCTTCTGGCCTGTTCCTCATTCCCCACTTTGGTGGATGTACCTTACTTTCCACGGCGAGAAGGGTCGGTCATCGAATGTGACCAACCAACTCACTCTCTCATAACTCACATGTCCTACAAGAACCAATCGCTCGCTTGAGGAAACGACAGGATTCAATGCGTGCCGCGTTGCTGTATTCCTGTCAGCTACTCTCCTCATCCGGTCTTCACCAAACCGTCTTGAAACGATCGAAGAAGTGTTCCTCGTTAAAACTAGGGTGCAGCAACTTGTCGATTCCGACTTTTAAGTCGTGTCGTATTTGAATTTTTCCTAACGAATTCTTTCACGTTTGGGTCTCATCGCAATTTTTTTTTTGTAATAACAAGGTGTGTTCGAACCTTTTGACTCTATTAATTCTCACTGACTGTCATTTTCGCATGCATCCGATAAGACTCCAACCACGCGGGGTTGGTGAGCATTACCAGCCAATGCTACTTTAAGGGCATGCGAGACGCAACAATTCGAGCATGGGATTTAAGACCGAGCCAAGCGTTTTACCTCGGCAAATGAGCAAACTGTGGCTGTTATAAATCGTGGGAATGCACATTGAGCATCAGAAACGACAGAAAGCTATTCCTAGATCCTGGAAAACATGAAGTGGTTGGTGTTTCATAGCCTTGCGCTGTGTCTTCTCTCTCACTCTGCACTCTCACAGACAGTGATCAAGACTCTCCCAGGATTCCCCGGTGAACTTCCTTTCTATCTCGAAACTGGGTCGGCGAAACATCTACTCTCTCTCTTATCTCTCTCTCTCTCTCTCGAATTCTCTGATCCTTTCCCTTTCTCTTTTGTTGCTGAGATTTCATGTTTTTAACTGTTTGGGTTGTTTTTGGTGGTGATTAGGTATGTTGGAGTGGGAGAGTTGGAAGATGTGCAGATGTTCTACTACTTCATCAAGTCGGAGAGGAGTCCAAAAGATGATCCTCTGGTGCTCTGGATCACAGGAGGCCCTGGTTGTTCCACTCTCTCTGCAATGCTGTACGAGATTGGTAAGTCTAAACATTCAATAATCCGGTAATGTTCATTTTCTGGAAAACAAACCGAACCTTAGTACGATGCGGAGATGAGAGTAACAATGTCGCTGTAGTAACCTTATCCCGGCATCCGTTGGATTATTGGACCTTTCGAAGTTCTGCGAATAATTTTCCCCCAGAAATCTTATATGACAGCCTTCATGTCAAGTCGGCATTTCAACACTCTTAGCAGTATAGTTAGGTTGTCATATAAGGTTTTCGTTTGCGGGTCAAGTAGAGAACAGTCAGTGTATTAGCCGAAATTGATCAAAACTTAATCAGTTTTCTTAAAGGAACTGCAAGCTTTTGTTTATTTCAAATCGATGTCGCGTGCGAGAAAGTATTTTAGGTAAAAAACTGTATTTTAATAAAGTGATCGCGTGTAAAGATGAATAAGGAAATCTAAACTTTGGGATACTGAAATTTCTAAGTTTGGACAATGGTTACTTAATTTCTGGTTGTATTCAGGTCCATTCACGTTCGACTACAAGAATTCAACTCCAAGCAGACCAACTCTGAAAGTGCATGAATATGCATGGACAAAGGTAACAAGAATTTGATTCCCTCCCTTGCCGTGACTTTGGCTGCATCATCCCCAACATTTAATTGGTTAATTTGCAGGTCGCGAACATCATATTCGTAGACGAGCCCGTCGGGACCGGGTTCTCGTACGCGAATAATTGGGAAAGCTACAACGTGAATGACAATATTTCGGCCACTGATACTTACGAATTTCTCAGGAAGGTAAAGTAAAGAGATTCTGAATAAAAAAAATGGGGAAATTTTCTATATTCGAGATATTTATATTTCACTGTAACTATTAGGCCCGAGCCATTAGAATTTATTATATTTTACTCTGATTTTTCTGTTGCTCGAGGTGGGATCCAGTGGCTTACGTTGCGCCCTGAGTTTCTGAACAATCCACTCTACATTGGTGGTGATTCTTATGGCGGCTTTATCAATCCAATGGTCACTCTGAAAGTTGCTGAAGGTATGCTTTATTTTTTTTAAATATAATTTTGTGTATCTTTATTAGATAGGGCAATGACCTAAATGGTCATTGAACTTTGGTTCCTAAATTTTTCCTGAGCTTTAACCCAATGTGCAATTTCGTCCTTGAACTAAATTTGTTCAATGTAGTCACCGATATTTTGATACATGTTTAGTTTAGTTCCTAGACTATATGAAAAAGTTTAGTATTTTCCTTCCATTAATTCAAGTTCAAGAACAATATTGAACATTTTTATATAGTTTAGAAATTAGATTGAACATGAACCAAAAGTTTAAGGACCATAGTGAATAAATTAAAAGTTTGGGGACAATATTGCACAATTGTGTTTGTGTATCGACAATTCATGTCATTACAAAAATGTTACGACATGATTATGTGATGTTTTATTAAAGATGAGTAAATATGTGTTGATTCGTGTCAGTTTAGAATTAAGTAGTGTCCTGTCGAGACGAGTTTGGATTTTTTTAAATAAATTCATGTTTAGGATTATCATCCCAGCATCGACCTAGGATGTGCACATGTAACCTTCTCTTCTTAATAATCCATGCATTTTGAAGATGTGAAAGGGAAACAAAATCTGGCTTGCGGTCTACGACATCGAATTTGGTTACCAAATTGGTTTGAGAATATTTTCTCTAATATTAACCAGTTAATCTCATTTTTCCATCCTTCCAGGTTTATTCTAGAATAAAAATTCTCTTGCTCACACAACAAATTGTCTTAGTATTTTTTGGACCATTGAATTAAATAATTGATAGGTTTGTTCAATTCAAAAAAAAAATGTAACTTATAAAGTTAACATAAAAGTAAGTACAAAAAACTAAGAGAGCGCATAACCCATCCGCAAAGTATATTTTTTTCTATTTATTTAAGTGTAGAGAATTAATGATCACAAGAGCAAATGTCCTTTCCTTTACCTATCCTTATAGATTTTGTTTCCTTGAAAACAACAATCTATATGAGTTTAGTCGAATACTATACTTTGTTCCAGGAAATGAAGCGGGCCGTAAACCAATAATGAATCTTCAGGTAAGTATCATCAACCATACTAATACCATGTTTCTTATATGCATTTTCCACCCAAAATGCCAACATCTATTGATCGAATTTGATTCAGGGGTACTTGGTCGGAAACCCCGTAACGAATTTGCCAGGTGACATAAATTCAAGAGTCCGATTCGCTTATCTGAAGTCTCTTATATCCAAAGAGCTGTATGAGGTAACGATCTCCAACATGTCTATGGTAATTTGTTTTTTCATATGCTTTGTCAAATGGTCTATGTCGAATCATAGTAGAAAGCAAAAGAAATAGTCCAAGGATGTTTGGAATTTTTATTTGTTCTTTCCCAAAATTGACTTCTCTATATTTCAGTCAGCTTACGAGAATTGTAATGGCAATTTCATAAACGTGAACAAAAGCAATGCTGCTTGTGTCGATGACCTCAAACTCGTGACTATGGTTAGTGGGCATTCAATTTTTTTTTTGTTTGGATCATATATTTTCCTATTGACAATTTCGTGGTATTAATAAACCTTCGCTTTTATTTAAATTGACTTTAGTGCCTGGAGAAATTAGATATAGCAAACATATTAGAACCGAATTGCTTCTATATGACTCCAAAATCAACGTTGGATGGTACGTGGGACCCGAGCTTAGTCAATCGAGACCCTACACTTCTTCCCTCACATGATCTTCATGGGCTCTGGTGCCGGGTAAGTATCCGAATGATTTGTTTGTTCCCTTTCTATTTGCAAGTGAATAAATAAACAAACTTATATCATGATCTGACTAAACAAAATAAAATAGAAAACTTAGACTAATACACCTGGTAATTGAGACTTTAATTTTCAATTCTCATGTATAGATTAATTTATATCACAATGTCGTTAATTAAATCTTTGACTCTGTTGTGATATTATTACGTTTCTGTTCATTATCTATCATGTCATTGAAACCAAATGATAACCGGCTCTGAGTAATCTTGATATTTAAAATCAAAAGTTCATGAAACTAGTTTAAGCATACAACGGTTGAATTAGAAATAATTGCTATTCCCGAAATCCAATGTTCGGTGGCGTTTTACTGTACGGCGGCCAAGTGAGTCATAAACTTTTCAATTGTGTCCAATACAGTTCTAAACCTATTGTACGGCGGTCAATTTAATCTTAAACCTTTTAATTGTGTCAATTTAGTCCTAAACATTTTAACGATTTGTCAATTTAGTCTTAAACCTTTTAACGGTTTGCCAACATAGTCCTTCTGGGTAATTTTGGTCAAAAATCACTGAAGGACTATATTGGCAAATCATTAAAAGATTTAGGACTACATTGACAAATCATTAAAATGTTTAAGACTAAATTGGCAAATCGTTATAATGTTTCAAATTAAATTGGTATAATTGAAATGTTTGGGACTGAATTGTCCGCTGTACAATAAGTTTATAACTTTTTGGATAATTTTCTTAGCCTCTGACAGGGCAGCAAACCTGTTATTATTTATTTTCTTGTCGAGATTCAATTTAGTAGATATATTAGATTCACCTTTCGATATTTAATATATGTGTTTTTTTCCATGTAGATCTATAACTACGTGCTCTCCTATACTTGGGCTAACGATAGAGCCGTTCAAGAGGCACTTCACGTCCGACCGGTATGTAATTGCCAATACTACAACGAAACGCAGTAAAATCTGCAAAGTCATATGATTTCCTCCTAATTAAATTGTTAATTATCTGTTTATTTTCATTTTGTTTTCGAGTAAAAATTTGATATGCCAGGGGACAATTAGGAAGTGGGTTAGGTGCAACGAAAGTTTGTCTTACGATTATAGTGTCCCAGAAGTGATTGAATATCACAAAGAGCTCCTAAAAAGGGGATATCGAGCACTTATTTATAGGTAATTAAATTAACAAATTCCTTACCCTTTTTTTTGGGGTTATTACCCAATTTACTTGAACTTTCTCGACATGTAGTGGTGATCATGACTTGGCCATCCCGTACGTGGGAACGCTTGGATGGATCGAGACGCTGAATTTAACAGTATCTGATGATTGGCAAGCTTGGTTCGTTGATGGACAAGTTGCGGGGTCAGTTTCGATAATAACCCTTTTCTAGTCTTTACATTTTTGTTCTAGACGGAATTTTTCTGCACACTCGATTTATTTTATAGGTTAATGAAAATACTCTTATCTTAATTTCTCGTGTTTGTGTTTGTTTGGTCTGTTTCTTAGATACACGACGTTATATTCTTACGGAGAAGCCTATCTTACATATGCAACCGTCAAGGCAAGGACAATTTGCCCCCTCTTTTTAAGGAATTTAGTTTCACAATTTCGAAGTTGCTAATTATTTGTGAAAACATCAATAAACTGTCAACTGGTTTTGTGCAGGGAGGAGGTCACACAGCTCCAGAGTACAAGCCTAAAGAATGTTTCGCCATGATTAATAGGTGGTTTGCTTATTATTACCTATAATTAAGAGTAGTAAGCTCCCTTTAATATGAGGATTTTCGTAATAACATCATCAGTGTAATAGCATCTGGTGGAGATGAATGTTTCCATCCCCAAAGCCAAAAGGTCCTCAATTTGCATGAATGTTATGCAATCCAAATATGTGTTATGGGGTTCCGAATCGGCATTGGTGTTCAAATAGATATCCTCTCTCATCTCTATAAATCCGGTATTCGATTAAGCTCCTCGGGGATTTAATTTTGCAACCCTTAATGTGTTTTTATTGTGTAAACTTTGTTTTTTTTTTTGGTCAGAATTGTTTAAACTTTGTTAATGAGTGGTAAGACGACATTCGATGAGTACCTGAGTAGGTATACTTTGCATTTGCCAATGCACCGACATATCTTGTATTATGTGCAATTAAATACTTTGAAAGTCGAAATGCTCCATGTGGAATAATGTTGTACAGGAGCTCCGACGACATTTCTCGTTGAGACGATCCGTATTACGCACTAGGGAGCATCGCTTCCATATGCACCTCAGCAATCATCGGGCGATGGATCCAAATACATCGATGCTTGCAGGGAGCAAATGTTTCGGGAGCACCTAATTTTATGTTCTAAAAAATTCTGTCTAATCTCAGATTAATACACAGCATTGTACCAAAATTTAATGGAGATTATTGGAAGCACGAGGCTGTCGTGTCTCGCTTAATTTTTTTTCTGGAGCTAATGACAATGCTTCAATCATAAGTTTTCCCTTATTCACGCTTAATTTTGGTGTACCACACCTTCAACGGTGAGAAGGGGCGATGAACCCCTCTACTCTAGTGCACAAACTTATACTGGGAAAAGAACTGAAGGCACCTGGCACGTTCTAGCGCTTTACACTCCACGAGTGACCGTAAAAGTTGCACACATCTCGATCGTTGTACATGACGCAAAATGCAATTTTAAATGGACGAATCTCGTCTCGACATGACATGAGTCTGTTAAGCGGTGCCCGAGTCAAGTCAACCTTGTAATATTGCAGTTTACTATGCGCTAACTTGGTCTGTTTGATCGAGCCAATTACAGAGCAAGAAAAACGCAAGAAGATCCGCGTTAGATCCCCTTCAAAGCACGAGTTTCCACGCATTCTGAATTCAGATCGGTTGGTCTCCCACATCATCCACAGGCTGAGCTTTTTTTTTTTTTTGTCCAGAATAACGATATTCATTCATATCTTAAGTCTTGGCTTGCGAGTACAATGGCAAAGCATCAAAACAAAGTAGACTCCAAAGATCAAGAAGGGGGTAGAGGGTCTAATTCCGTGGCAGGGAATTTTTTCTTTGAGCCTTAACTACCCAGTCTGTCACTTTGTTAGACTCTTTAGTACCATGGGCCAATTTAATATCAGAAAAGTTTTTCAACAGATTTTTGGCTTTCAAGATAAGCACACGTATATCCCACTTGAAATGATCTGCACTTGTAAGAGCTCTTACCATGTCTACAAAATCGGATTCTAGTTAAAGGCAATCCATAGCACGTTTAGAGAAGAAAACTAGCGTTTCTACAAGAGCACTGACCTCGGCTTGAGCTACAAAGCTGACCCTCATTGTTTTGGCAAATCCATCTACAATTCTTCTGAGGCTATCTCGCATCACACCGGCAACTGCTCCCATCGTTGAACCTTCAGTAAAAGAAGCGTTGATATTAATCTTCAGTACTCCCTATTTCGGGTTTCGCCAAATCTGAGGTAAGTCTTGACCTTCAACAGCTTTTTCTTTTCCTAAATTGTTTCCTCGTGCTTCATTATGCGTCAACTGAGTTGAGTTCACTAGCTGCTGTGGACTTGGTTTTAGTCTTCGGAATATGAAATTGTTCCTTGATTTCCAAATAAGCCAAAGGACAGTCGCAAGTAGCTCGAAAGGTACAGGTGTGATGCTAAAGTTCAAGAGCCATTCTTCAATTCTTGGGAGACCTTGATTGGGAATCTTGATTTGTAGCGAAGGATTGGACCAGACTTATTTCGTCCACGGGCAGAGAAGAAAAACATGCTCAAGAGTCTCGAGATGCTTCTGACATAAATCACACTTCAGTTCTGGTACAATACTCTTTCTAAATAGATTTTCCTTTGTTGGTAAGGCATTTTGACATACTGCCCATAGGAAAAATCGAATCTTCGGTACTATATTTGCCTTCCAAATTTTAGTCCACAAAGCTCTGGGGGTTTGATATGAAGAAGATGCTTGATTTGGGTTTGGTTTCTTTGCAAGGTCTCTGTTCCTGTTATAGCCGCTCTTTAATGTATAGGACCCATATTTGGCATTTAACCAAACCAGTTTGTCTTCAGTGTCATATGACCTCAGTGGAATTGCAAGAATTTAATTGACAATCTGTTCATCAAATAGCTGCTATAGCATCGGTTCATTCCGCTTTGACTCCTCCTGGACAATTAACTTAGCTACCCTCTTAGGCTCTCCACTATTAGCTGGACCACCAATAACTCTCTTGTGTAGCCATTTGTCTTCTCTAATGTTAATCTTTTCCCTATTACCCACATACCACATAATGGAAGGATGAATGGATGCTCTCCCCATTAGTACACTTTGCCACCCCCATGATGGTCGAGTCCCTTTCCCAGTATGTCAGAAGTCACAATTAGGGAAGTAAAGCCCTTTCAATACTTGTGTCCACAATGAGGATGGGTTTTGAGTAATTAGCGATGCTTGTTTGCCTAACATGGCCCCATTAAAAGTCATTAGATCCCTGAATCCAAGTCCTCCGCTATCCTTCCTTCATTTTAGCACATCCCAATTCCTCCAATGTAGTCCAGCTTGTTTTTCACCATTTTTCCACCAAAAAGATGCAATTTCCTTTTCAATTGCCCTGCAAATGGAGACGGGGATTTTAAAAATAGACATAGTATACTGTGGTAATGCTTGCACCACTGCTATAATGAGTATTTCTTTTCCAGTTTTTGACATCAGATTTTCCTTCCAACCTTCTAGTTTCATGTTTACTCTAGCTAGTATCTAGTCAAACAATTGTTTCTTTGATGCCCCCCAGTCCGAAGGAATCCCTAAGTACTTCCCAGTCTTCTTTAATTCTAGAACTCTAAGCTCATAGGTCATATTCTGTCTCAAACTCTGTGGATAATCCCTGCTAAAATATACCCCAGACTTGTTTAAGTTAATTGATTGCCCAGAAGCAAAGCAGTATTGATTCAAAATAGCTGCAACATTCTGGCATTCCATAATCGTTCCATCGAGGAAAAAGATTAAGTCATCTGCAAACAAGTGTGAGATAGCGTGGGGTAGAATCTATTCAGCTTGATTCCCTTTATACTTCCGTCCTCCATTGCCTTTTTCATCAAATAAGATAACCCATTACCCACCAAGATGAACAAATAGGGAGAGAGGGGATCACCTTGTCTAATTCCTCTTGATAGTTGACAATAGGGTAGAGGCTCTCCATTTAGCTCGACACTAAAGGACACAGTAGTGACGAATTGCATAATCCACTTCACCCTTTGACAGCAAAAACCCATTTTCAGCATGCAAGCTTCCAAAAAATCTCATTCAACTATGTCATAAGCTTTTTGCATATCAAGTTTAAGCACTGCTTGGAACATTCTCTTTCTCTTTCTTATTCTCAGCTGATGTAGCACCTCTTGGACAATTAAGATGTTATCCTGAATTTGTCTTCCACTCACGAAAGCACTTTGCTCTATAGAAATCAAGTATGGCAGGCATATTTTCAATCGATTAGCTAAGACTTTTGATATAATCTTATATGCAAAGTTACACAAGCTAATGGGACGAAATTGTTCTAGTTTTTCCGGGTTTGGGATCTTTGGGATGAGGGATATATATATGTTCTATTCAACTTTGAGTTGAGATACCCTGAGTGAAAAAAGTTTTGTACCTCCCTGAATATTGCTTGCTGTGGCTCTTTCCAGTTATGCTGATAAAACTGGTCGTTTAAACCATTTGGTCCTGAAGCTTTTGTAGATCCCAACTGGTAAGCTGCTTCAGTTACTTCCACTAGTGTCACTGGCTTTGTCAACATCTTGTTCATGTCCTCCCCTACTAGACAAGGGTATTCCTCCAGTGTTAGTTGGAAATTTCGAGGACCAACTGATTCAAAGAGATTACTGAAAAATTCAAATGTTTGCTGCTTTAGTTGAGTTAAATCATGAATCCATTCCCCTTCTTCATTTTTTAACATAGAAATTTTGTTCCTCCGTCTCCTCTGAATTGTTGTGGCGTGGAAAAATTTAGTATTTTTATATCCCCATTTCAGCCAATTTACTCTCGATCTCATACCCCAGTACATCTCCTTTTGTCTCCACAACTTCTCCATTTCATTCTTCAGAAACTGCACCCTCTCTCTTTCACAATGCAAGTGTCGGTTGTTGGAGATGTCCTGAAGTTCTCTCTTTAAAAGGTCTATTTTCTTCTTTCCATTGAAGAACTTTGCTTTGCTCCATTTAGATAGAGCTAAGGATACTACTTTAAGCCTTTTCAACAAGCCTTCATTCTCCAATTCTACTGAATGCCAAACTTTTTTAATGATCTCTCCACATTCCTCTTCTTCAAGCCAAAAAGCCTCAAATTTGAACTCTTTTTTCCTTTTCACTGGCTCGAGAAAAAGAGACAATAAAATAGGACTATACTGGGCTTTTCTTGAGCCACAAAAGCTCCGATTGCTTGAATTGTCAAGGGATTGCCCAACCCTTGACAATTCTAGCATATAAAATTCATATGTAACCCGGTGGCTTATTAGGGCTAGCCACCAAAGCCCATTCCATTGTTCCTGACACCACATGAATAGGTGTATCTAGCAATTGAGTCTCATCTAGCATCTGCGAGTTTGCCTTTTGTGTTTCATAGGGGCTGTATGAGTAGGTGAATCTAGCAATTGAGTCTCATCCAACATCTGCGAGTTTGCCATTTGTGTTTCATAGGGGCTGTACCTTCGTTTCTTCTTAGCAGCAAATTTCTTAGTCTCTTTAAGCTTCTTGTTCTGAGCAACTTGTGGATGCATTCGCACATCAGGGGAGGGAGAGCCACTGCTCTAACCTGGATCAGGCAAATTGAAAGGAATAAAGTCCTCACCCTGCTTGGCTTGCGATTGCATACTTGTATCCCCAGACACTATGTCCTTTCCCTTTTCTACTTGAACATGATTGGGATCAGTTAGATGGTGCTGGATATTACTCGTAAAAGGCACAATCTAGAGGGAATGTACTAGAGTCTCGGGGATAATTTCCTCCTCTATGTCCTCCTCCTTTAACTCCCCATAAAAAAGCTTCATAAAAGGATTATGACCCTGTACTTGGACCTTTAGCCACCGGCCATAGAGACACTTATCCTTAGTTTCCAAGTTCTCATATTTGAATTCCACTTCTTCACAATAATTGGCGTAATGCCCAAATCTACCGCAAGAGTAGCAGAAGTCAAGGAGCCTCTCATACTTATAATCCAACCAGAGCTTTTTCCCTCCCTTACTAGCAATAAATCCAGATTTTAAGGGGGTTGTCACATCTAATAGGAATTTTGCCTTCCCAATTTTGTGAGCAGCAATACCCTTCGCATCAACCTTCACATCCATAACCAGACTAAGACTTTTAACAGCTCTAAGAATCACTTCTTCTATAAGCCATTCAAATGGAAGTCCGCAGATTTGCACCAAAAAAGGACACATGTCAAACTCATAACGGTGTGGAGACATATCTGGCTCCCATTTTTTGAGAATCAATAGATGGCTCAAAAAGGACCAAGGACCAGTCTCATACACCCTCAAAAGTTCTGCCTCAGTCATAAAAGTAATGGCATAAATCCCAGATTCCAAAAAGGAGAAGGTTACATTCTCAAGTCTCCATGCTCTCCTCATTGTGTTTTGGAAAGCTAGAAAGTTTATCTTTGGGTTTTGAAACAGCTTGCCAACGAGGGTAAGCCTACCTTCTCTAATTTTCCTTGTAGGAACCGCTTCATCCATTGCAGTAAATTCTGTTCTTGACCAAAGTCTGCCTAATTGTTTGCTAAGTACTGTTATTCGAATTTCTGATTCCTCCTCTCCCTCTATGATCAAGTTCCAAAACAAGTCAGAGCATACAAGATGACTTACCCGAGAATAGAGGTATTCAAGTCAAATCTTAAAGACCCACTAAGAGCGATCTGGAGAACATCGTTGCTTTCCGATATAGACTTCAACCTAGAAATTTGTTGGATGAGTCACCGACCATAAAACACCTTTACCAAAACCTCACTGGTAGTGCTCGAAAGTATAGAGTCAGGCAAAAAGGTTGAGGCATCATGACTGGGTTTTGGGCTTAAGGATCGATTAGGGTTTATAGGTTGTTAGGATTCAACAGAATTTCCACTCCCTTTGTTGAGGAGGAGCCACTAGTGTAGAGAAGAGCGTTCATATCGTGTGAATCACAAGGGGCTAAATAGAATAGAGAAAACAAGGATTAGGGCTTTATGAGACCTACCACCAAAGGGCAGAGGAGAGCTCTTCAAGACGAGAGAGAAATACAACTTTAAAACATCATTCTTTTCTTTGTTGTGGCTGAGCCTGCTTGATCCCCCATATTTTATTGGATCAACTCTAATTAGATAAAAGTCACCATTCACAATGGCGCAGACCAAAGTCTTCATTGGATATGATGGCCATGCATGACGAACATAATCTTTGCAAGAGTCGCAAATGGAGCGTGAATGAAATTCAGCTCCATTGTCACACCTAAGAAATGCGCTCTCCATTCTCCAAAAGTATGAAGTCGTCGGCGCTTCATTGTCTTGCTCTGTGTCTTCTCTGTTAGGATGTATGTGTGAGTTGTGTTAGAGAAGTTCCCCATTAAAAAATTGGCGTGATGTTGAGCAGTTAATATATCCTAGTTGGCCCATAACTCATTAGCTTAAGCTTTTAAGTGAAGGTGGGTTTAACCAGATATATTGACGGGCTCGGACTTGGGTTTTCTTTTGGCGATCTCCCTAGAGTGAAAGTATCAAGCTTCTATTGCATGGTTCCAACAAATGGTATAAGAGTCGATGGTTGATTGGTGCTCCACCTCAATCTGTTCCGGTGTTTGTTGAATATCTCAAGAAAGAAATCTTATGATCGACGCTATTGTCATCACGGTTGGTCTGGCAAGAAGAGACCATGGCCAGTTGGTCTAGTAACGCGAGACAGAGACCATGGGTGATGCAATCCTAAGTTAGCAGTTGATGATGGTTGCTATGCATAGTTGCGGGTGCATTGCTATGACTTGGAGATTCAAGTTGAAATAAGTTGGTGCAGAAGAATACCTGAATTAAGGGAGAGCAAACCTAATACTGGAGCTCACACGCGAGGGGGAGATTGTTAGGATGCATGTGTGGGTTATGTTAGAAAAGTTCCACATTGAAGAATTGGTGTGGTATTGAGCAGTTCATATATCTTAGTTGGCCCATAACTCATTGGCTTAAGCTTTTGAATGAAAGTGAGTTTAACTAGATATGTTGACGGGCTCGGACTTGGGCTTGCTCTTGGCGATCTCCCTCGAATGAAGGTATTGAGCTTCTACTGCGTATTCCCAACATTCTCTTCCAATCTGGACTCTCCCATACAGTGGTCAAGTCTCTTCCCGGATTGCTCGGTGACCTCCCCTATTATCTCGAAATCGGGTCAGTGAAGCCGCCCACCCCTTCTCTCTCTCTCTCTCTCTCTCTCTCTCTCTCTCTCTCTCTCTCTCTCTCTCTCTCTCTCTCTCTCTCTCTCTCTCTCTCTCTCTCAATACAGTCGATAGATTAGTCGACACACCGGGTTGGTGTTTCGACCGGGATATGCAGATCATCATGTGTGTTTGAATCTTTCTCTCTCTCTCAATACAGTCGATAGATTAGTCGACACACCGGGTTGGTGTTTCGACCGGGATCTGCAGATCATCATGTGTGTTTGAATCTTTGCATGTCGTTTCTGATTCTTTTCCTTTTTGTGTTTTAGATACATTGGAGTGGGGGAGTTGGAAGATGTTCAGCTGTTTTATTACTTCGTCGAGTCGTAGAGGAGTCCAAAAGATGACCCTCTGGTGCTGTGGCTCACAGGCAGCCCCGGTTGCTCCGCCCTCTCCGGACTGTTATACGAGATCAGTAACTTCCTTTTTATATCTTTTGATACTTCTGACAGGAATTGAGTAGAGATCGAAATCGTTCTCTGTTCTTCTCTGTTGAGATTATTTGTTGTTTTTCCATCCCGAAGAAGGGAAAATGTTCTTCTGTTTTTCCTTTTTTGTGCCGGAATAATTTGATATCACTTAATGATTAGTTAGTGTATAAATATCAACAGTTTGGCAATGAGCTCAATTAAAGATATTCATTTTTTTTCTATTGAGAAAGACATTTCAGTACATGAAAATCAAGTTTGGTATTTGCAAATCTTTTTCATTGGTTTATGCGAATCTCGTAATCTAACTCTCCGTGGAGGAAAGCATTCTTTCCATCCATTTTAGAGCTTCATAACTCATTCACATGTCATGATTTTATCTATTAAACCAGATGTCTCATCATAATCTAACCCGTGGTCTTAAGAAATCCTTGGGTCATCAATTTGAGTCTTACCTTGTAAACTCATTGACAAGACGAGGGTTTGAGGCCTCTCAGCTTTGGTACAAGATCTCACTGGGGCTGTGCAACTGGACCGGTGACCAGACCGCCCTGAAAATCGGTCCGATTCCAAGTCCTATTGGAACCGGTCCAATTCACAGTTCCAAGTGAAGAACCACTCAGTAACCTGGTCAAATTTGAAATCGGTTTCATAAAGCTTAAAAACTTTAATTTTTCTCTTGACGTCTTTTTCTCTATTCTCTCCAATCTCACTCAAATACTTCATAACTTTCTCTCTCACTCGTGATGCCCTCCTCCTCGCTTGCTCGAGGCTCGCCCTCGCTCGTTTGAGTCTTGCGACCCTCACTCATTCCTGACTCGCCTTTGCTCGCTTGCATTTGTTCCTATTTTACTTTGAACCGTTTTGTTGCTTACATTATTTTGCTATAAAAAATTAAATTAAAAGAAGGAACAAAAGAAAACAGGTTCTCGGGTAAACCTCGGAACCAAATCAGAAAAACAAATTAGGTTCCAAGGTCGGTTTTAGGGCAAGTAGGGTAGGTTCCAGATTCCAAAAATTGGGAACCAGTTCTAACAGGATAAGTTTCAGGTCTAGAACCCATGCATCCTGAAATCAGTTACCCCTACATCTTACATCCTGTTATGCTTTTAAGGCTTGCATCTCTTCTTCCATTGCCTTCTTTCTTTCTTCCTTGGTGGATAGTTCTCATTCAATTCTACATTAGTGTATAAGGATTTGAGCAGAGTACGAAAGTGCAAGATAATTCTGCCTGAGGCATCAAAGTTTTCGTAAAATGTCAAACACATAATGTTACTAATCTTGAACTTGAGATTGTTTTGATCGATCTAATCGATCTAAGATCTTATCAGATATTGTTGTTCGCATGATTAAAGTTTAGTTTGATTTTGTTTGGAATGGAGGCCAGATTAGATTAATATATTTGGCAAATTCTAATTACCATAAATTATTTTTATGTTGAACGAATTTAGTAACCCTATTTTACTTACTAGATTAGGTGTTTTTTTTTACTTAATTGGATCATTTAAGTCAATTCTGTTTATGGTCATCAAATCGGTTTAATCCCATTAAGTGCTGAGTTTTTAATTTTCCACGCTCGATTGGATTCTCAAATTGGCCCTTTCATAGTTATGTAAGTTGTATCTGAGAAAGTACGTTATGTAATTATCACGATAATAGTACAAATAATGCAAGAAGCCGATTAGAACGAATAAAGATTGTGTATTGTTCTTAGAGGAAATGTATATGCCATTAGATTTTGAAATTTATGAATTATAATACGTGAAATGCGGCATATTCATTTCATTGAATGCAGGTCCATTTACATTCGATTACGAGAATTCTACTACATTCAGACCAACTCTAAAATTGAATCCATATTCATGGAGAAAGGTAACAATAATTGATTTTTTTTTCATCTTGGCTGTGGTTTTTGCTACATGAACCTCATAATTTGGTTGATTAATCGTTGAGTATACCTAATTAATGAGCTGGGCAGGGCGCTGAGCCGTTCATAATAAAAAGGTTTAATACCATGAAAATCCTAAATCGGTACACATGTGACAAATTTACCCAAATAATTTTTTAACCACAAAAAACCTCAAACTAGTACACCTGTGACAAATATACCCTAAACTAATATTTAGACCACAAAAAACCCCAAACTGGTATAATTGTGACAAATATGCCCCAAACTAATTTTTTGACAGTAAAAAACTCTAAACTGGTACACCAGTGATAAATTTACCCTTCATTAACTTCCGTCAAGTTTTACCGTCAAATTTGCTGACGTGGATGACATATGGTGGCGTGGTTGGTTAATATGACGAAAAACCTCAAACTTGTTTAGTCAATTTGTCACAGGTGTATCAATTCGGGGTTTTTCATGGTATTTACCCTATGGATTTCTACATGGACTTGTCACGTCACCATACCACATCACCATGTGCCATTCCGATTAGCAAATTTAACAATAAAATTTGATGGAAGCTAAATGAAGGTAAACTTGTCACAGGTTGACCAGTTAGGGGTTTTTCGTTGACAAAAAATTAGTTTGGGGTATATTTGTTACATTTGTACCAGTTTGAGGTTTTTCGTGGTCAAAAAAATAGTTTGGGGTAAATTTGTTACAAGTATACCGGCTTAAAATTTTTTGTGGTCAAAAAATTAGTTTTGGTAAATTTATCATATATATACTAATTTAGGGTTTTTCGTGGTATTCACCCTAATAAAAAAGATATTAATTTTTTTTTTATCCCTTTTATTCTCTAATTCAAATGTTTTGAACGAGGGTTAACAAGCCATTAGGCTCATGATTAGCTCTACTAAAAATATTGGCGAATTAATGTCCACATAGGTGGCGAATATTATAT